TTTCAAAAGTGCGACCTTTTGAGTTTTACGTCTGATTTACTATAAATACTCTTCTTGTACGTTTTACTTTTCATTTTAAAATCTGGAAGTGACTGCTACATACAACTATGAAGTTTCTTCTTTTATTTTGGTTATTTCCGTGCTTGGACGTAAGTCAGTTTTGATTTGATATCTAACATATCTAAAAATAATTAATAAAATGTGACAAATTTGCTCACTTTCTTTCTAGATATCTCACAGCCTAATATTTGCCAACAATAATATTCTTTATTCTAAAATGCTTCTGTTTATATAAAAAAATCTACTCTGTGTATCATATAATAATGATAAATGTTTTGCATTGACATATTAATGAAAGGTTCAAGGGTCTGGAAGAATTTCCATAATACGCAACAACACTTAAAGATATTATCTTCCTGCGAATCGGTCGGATGTTTCACGACAGTTTGCCTTCTGAAGCAACGGAAGTGTATTCACTCAGCTGCCAAGAGAGCATTTATCTTTATAGCTGCTTTAAATACCACTGCGAGTTTTGCATGATTAGCAACTGCTAACGATGGAAACACCAAGTCCAAATAGGAAATGAATGACTTTAACTGAGTCTGCAACGAATTCGCCGTTTTTGGACTTTCTTTAGGGATCCTATTTCTCTCTCTTTTACTCTTAACTATACCTTTTTATTATTATGTTTTCTTTATTGTATTCACATCCATGTGATACAATATATATCAAAGATTATTATATATATAACAAATTAAAAAATATACCTTACACCCCTTATATTTGTAAAAAATCTGCATCAAGGAATTTTTTCCAGGAATAAAAGTCAAACAATGTGATGGTCTGACGTCATCTGTACGTTATACAAATGCATGTAAGTAAGTTAATTACAATTATAGCATAAAATCGGCTATTTTTCCCTCTTTTGCCCATGTTATAACGGGGCCAAAACCATGCGTTAACATAGTCACGCGCTCTTGTTATAGCCCGGTTTTACCTATGCGCAATACATACAGGGCCCAGTAAACAAATTGGCCTGTTTGCCAGAGTCATGTGCTCTTGTTATATTGGAATTATTAATTCGAGGGCCTCAGTCGCATAACGGCGATATTATGCCGGCAATACGGCGTATAGACATCGCCGCTTATCTTGGTTGTCGCCCTTTCTTAGAAACGGACAGTTGTCAATGTAAACAAATAGAATCTGTCATTCAGTTTAATCCCCGTACCGATTAACTTACAAAAATGGAAAGCACAAAATGAATATTAGAAAACGTTGTTTTATTGACGTTTATATTGATAAATGTTCTGTATGTTTCTTTGAGAGAATAATGTTTTATGCCTGATTTTTTTTTAAACTTGCGTGCTTAAAAAAAACGATTCTGAATTTGAATCTGATGTCACTGATCTTTTTCCTACCGCCAATCTGTAATCATTCTAGGAATTTCTGAGGCGTCTGTTTTGTCTTGGGTAGAGTAATGTTATGTTTTTCTTAAGTTAATATATCTCCAAAGTTAAACTTTGTTAAATCAATTAAAATTCGAAATTTCGTTCGGTTCTCAAGTTGTTGGCCCCGGAAAAAATAAAACGCATACGTAAAACATGTAGAGTTGGATAAATACCGTTCAAGCACAAGGATTTAATGTTTGTGTTTTATATATAATATACATCATGAATCTGTTTTAAAATTTTATGCTATAATAGCGTCAACGCACGTTTATTTCGTGTTATAAAGTCTGCAGAGTCCCTCGGAACTGTTGGAGCCCTCGCCCTACCGGGCTCGGGCACCAACCGTTCCTCGGGACTCTGCAGACGTTATAACACGAAAAAACGTGCATTAACCCTATATTGTAAGCCAATATACCAAGAGATGTATGTTAGAATACACGTGCGATTTATTTTATCGTTCATATGATAATATCTAACAACTCTTACTAAAACATATGTGCACGTGCATTACATAAACCCTTTTTTAAAGAGAAATTGAATTGATAATCTATTTTCTGTTGCAGATACGACTATTGCTGATGACGATCTCGTCCACAGTGATTTTCCTGCTTTGAAAGATCAGTATCTTTCTAGAACAGATCACAAAATTACCGAGAGGAAAACACAGAATACAGAAACAGCAGCAGACGACCAGGAAGTTACATCCATCAAAGCAGACTTATATAGTTCTCTGTCTCGATCTGAAGTTAAACAAGTTGTAATTATTTGATTTGTTGTTTTTACGCCGCCTTTAACACATGATTGATTGATTGATTGATTGATTGATTATATCTTTGTGGTCGGTCCTCCTAAACGGCTTTCCTGGATGATTAACCGGCAATTACCAATTTCTCAGTAAGTCACCGATTACTTATACCTCATAACTTCTGAATTAACGGTAAGAGACAAGTGATATTTATGTTCGGTTACCAATTATCACTAAAAATGTTTGCCTCAACCGAGTATCAAACCATTAACCTTTGGCCTATAAACCTTTCCCTATCGAATTCTGCGGTTTGACACGCTGTATGTAGGTGTACTAGTTGACGCTGATTCAGTTTTGGAGTTTCCTCTTTTCGAATTAAAATAATATTCTTTGAAGTTTCCATTACCCATACCATCATGAATGTTAAGTGTTTAGCATAATGTATACAAATCAAGATTTTCAGGAATCAGTAGTTGTAGCAAAGGTAAATGAAATTAATAAAGCTACTGTAAAATTAATATTTTCTTTAATTGACCTTCAATAAAAATTATTTTGAAAAATGCTGTAGAAACTGCAAAAATATTCGATTAGAAATGAAATGATTATTGATATTTACTCTCTGTCTCAGTACATCAAAATGTATAGAAATTAAAGATGTCACATGCAAACAAAACTGAAAAACAATATTATATAAATCCAGTTATTGATGTTGAAAGATTATGAAATTATAGTACAAACATAAGCTGTCAACCTGCTTCCATTTTAAAATTTACATTATGATATCAAGATGCACTGATAATCCGCAAGGTTTGGCACTGTACATGTTGTAAAAGTTAAACAAACTCAAGCTGCACCTCTAGACACGTGCAGAAACCATTACAATTTTTTTATTCATTATTGTATAAGAATTGGTGTGAACGTATTGAGGCAAAAAGGCGATACTTTAGCATTTGATCATTCAAGCGCCTTGTCTGGTATACAGTATTTATGGTGGTAACTCAACACATTTTCTAGTCTCACTCTTAATTTAACTTGTTTTATTTCAGGAAGAGTCGATGACTGGAAATGTCGTTGGTCTTACGGATACATTCCATTACACTGGGTCACACAAAGAACGTTTTGATGAGAGTGGCAACGACCAGAACATAGCTGACCTGGAAAATATAGTTTAAAACACGGTTTACGTCGACAACTACAAAAGAGAAGGAACATATAGCAATCAGTTACAACTAACTTACATAGAATGAAAAGCACATACCATTGAACTGTGCGATAAATACTAATAATAATAGACTTATTTGGTCTTTGTAATAGCTGATAATCATTTTCAGGATCGGCATTTCTACTATTTGTATCAATCCCACTAACGTTTTCCTTGTCACTTACACAAAAGCAATAGGTAAATCTATTCATTTCTTTCGTCTTCATGGGAAAGCTGCAATTGATTTTGACAAATCCTTCTCTTATAACATATAAATGAAAACATTTTACAAGTTTTCCAATAATAATTAAAGTAATTTTGAAAACTACAATTGCTGTAGTTTTACTCGCACTAAACGGCACAAGACAGTCAAGAATTTGACGTAAAATTCGTTTTAAACTTGTTATGACATAATTTTTAAAAATGTTTACATGAATTTTTAAAGTTAAAGTCATATGATTTATTTGGCACGAAATTAAATTGTTTTATTGTTTTTCTGTCCAACTTTTTTTTATAGAATAAGTAAGAATTCAGATAATCTCGAGGCTTTTATGACTACTTTTAAAATTGACGTTGGCTTCTTTTGTTTTGCAAAATTTTGTTTATTCCGTCTTTTTTTGTGCTGTAAATACTTTGTAAAAAATTAGTTTAATCACATGGACAAATAAGTATTAAACTGCATGGTCACAGATGGTAATGTACTCATTATACGGGTATGTAACACATTTTAAAAACGGCTTGGGTAGGACCGGTAATATTGTCCGATTTTAATTTATAATTCATTAATCTTTAGAAAAGTGACAGATAATTAAAATGTACATTATGTATAATAGGTATGTATATTATTATATAATATATGATGCAAATGTATTTTAAAAATATGGTGCATGAGTACTAAGTAAAAGGGGGAGCGATGTTATGACACAGGGGTTAAATGCCTGCATGCCAACCCATTGCGTTCGAGTCCCAAGGAAGACACAGTCATGTCAAAAGATACAAGTCAGTTCATAGAGAGAACTCAGATAAATATATATTTAAGGAATGTAATCGGACATAAACAAATTTGCAATAATGAATAAAAGTACACTACATTGTTTTTTTCTCTACTGGTTGTTTGCCATAAAACATCGATCGATTTATTTATTGAAAGATTTGCCGTATAGGGTGTCGTATTTCAACATGTTATTTAGTTTATCTATATAATTGTTCATTAGAACTGAATATATAATGTAACATAAAACCTCTACATGTGTTTAAAAATGCGTTTCAAACGCACACTTGTATACTTGTAAATTTAATTGTGCAATGTCAATAGACGGAATTCAAATTTGAAAATGTATGTATTAAACGGATAATGGTTTATATTTAAACTATATACATGTGTATTATGTGAATATATGGAGAGAAAAATAGCCTAATATTAAAATAAAATAAAATTTTAACGTAAAAAACTTATAACTTGAAAATATAAACTGGTGATAAGCAAATCATATATTTCGTACATATATTGTTAGCAGTAATGGTAGGTGTGAAAAAATGAAAAGTTCAGTGCATTATAGTTTGGAGTTTTGAAAAATGTATTGTTAAAGGATCTACATATAAATTGAATAATGTTAACAAGTATTTAAAGGTGTTATATATTTTATACATCTACATTCATTTGATTTCATGAAGATGTACAACATGTATTACAGGGAGGATAAAAGTGAGACAATATTTTGCTCCTATATTTGCAACTTTTCAAGTATCCCGGTACAAAATTTGATCTGTGCCCTCTCCTGCGTATTCTCGGTTCCTGCCTTGGTTCCGTGTGGGTTGTTTTGTGTACTGGGATTCGTTGGAGGGGGTGGGGGCTGTGTTCACTGTATGCCGACCATTCCTTGTTTATCGTTGTTCTCATAATTTATTTCATATTCAGTCATTTTACTAGCATAAAATCTATGATAACATCTGACAAATTATTTATATCTATATACAAAGATAAATTTCTTCGTTTAAATTACTTTAACATAAAATAATCTAATAAACTCATCAAATTAAACGAAATCTAAAATTGTCGATGTAAAGCAAATAGGTTTATCAGTAGGTTTTCAGTGTCGTGTGGCAGCTGTAAAAAATTGGTCCAAACTTCAGTGTCATAGTTTTTCTGATCCTTCGATATCATTGCTTCAAGCACATTCAATACCGTTTAAGGCGTGAGACAGGTTTCCAGATTTTTTTTTATCAGCCTTATAGAAGTTTGGAATTGAAGTTATATAAAACATTAAATATCAACGACCATAAGCATTACTGTAGAAAACTGCAATGTATCGGCTTTTACTAACATTTATCACTACGTATGGTTCATAGTTAAAAATGCAGACACATCTTTGAAAAGTACACGTTCAATGTCCGTTAATAGCTAAAGTTCGACCAATACTCCCTATTTTCTTTTCGATGTTTAAAAATCTTTACATATTACTGCTTGAACATCATTTAATGAAAAAAGGTTCCACACATTTATAGGTTTTTACCAACTGTGATCCATAGAGAATGAGGTTAAATATATCACTTGAAATTTTCAATGGCAATACATCATAACAAGCGGGACAACGGGAAAGAAAAAAAAACGCGAAGAACACTATACAGAAAGAATGATATATTTTATTTCAGAAATAATTTGCCTAACATGTCTGCCTCAAAGGGTAAACAGCATGGTCACGATCATGATGACTGCAAAGTCACAGATGAACTCATACATCATTTCGAGGAGTTCTGCACACTAGCTGGCTCAAAAGATCCGAAAATTATGACAACAAAGGCAAGTGGCAAGTTGGTTGATGATTGTCTTTCAGATCTTAAAAAATATGACGCAAAAGCCATATGTGATGCCAGCGTGTTCCCCTATTGTAAAGAGCATGGGAAACCGTAAGTAGCTAAGTAAGGTTTGCGAAACAATACATAAAGGCTTTAACGGCTTTGTTGTTGATACTAGCATACAGGGCAACACTACTAAATTGAAAAATGTTTAGCGAAACACAGGGTGCACACATTCCTTTTTATTACGGCGCTTGATAACCTTTTAGCCTTTCATTTCACTACTACATCATTTTGATATCCACCATTTTTTCAAGATCCTCTTGTGTTATGTCTTTTGAATATATGATCTGCAACGTTCGTTCTGTCTTATAATTGTTTAGACATTATTTTAACTGATCTGTTGATTTAGGAAAAGGGATGTTTCTATGTAATAGCCTTACTGTTATCCCTTTATTTTCAGCATTTAAAGCAAATGTGTCTTTGAAACGTTTATCTTTTAATTTTCCAATCTTCATGTTCTAGACACACAACAACACATAAAATACTTTTGGTCCAGAAACAATATCATGAGGGAACACAGTTATAATTACAAAGGCGTTATTTTAAAAGACTCTTTTCATTTTATCTGCAATAGTTAATATTTTGCTGGACATGTTCATTGTAATATTTTTTTCCAACTATTACTTTCTTATTCATTTAAGACGATTTTGTTTAAACAAAAGGGTTTCTCTTTTCTATAATTATTTTATAAAGCAATTCCCTCACAGAAAACAACGTTGTTTGACTAAAACAACCCCTTCTCACTCTAATAATTTCAGTCACATGGTGGTCAACAAAGATAACGTAGATAAATTTATAAATAAGTTCGCCCATGAGATTGCTAAACGCAAAACATCAAATAACAAAATCGATGACAAAGACCCCGAAGTACTTGCAATAAAGAAAACAATTTGTAACTGCATCACCAAAGAAAAACCTCATGTACATGAGATTGTGAGTATCTTGTATATTTGAAGTCAAATCTACTTTTTGAATACGTTTGAATATTATATACAAGGCATCTTTTTATTCTAAAATTCAGCTGAATTTTAACAAGTTGAAAGCCAACGAATACAGTTTATTGTTTTAACCAATATTCAAAAAGACTATTTTGCTTCGTTCAAGATGCCGACCTAAAACTAAAAATATTTTGTGATTGCTTAAAACGTACTCAAAATGTTTTTGAAAAGTACATTTCAAAAGTAAGCTTAGTTTTCCAACATGACAGCATGGTTGTTTCTTTTTTATAGAAAGAATCAGCAACAGGGAATGTAAAGGGTCTAACAGATGCATCTAAATTCACGGGGACAAGCAAAGCACGCTTTGACAAGGATGGAAAAGGAAAGGGAAAAGAGGCACATGATTACGTACCAGAAGACTCCGGTTATGTGTGTGGTTATAAGGGTCAAGGAACATATGATTCCAGCCATTAATTAACAAAAACATAATATTTTGGTGATTTGAGCCGCGCTGAACTTGTTATTCTAATGAAGAAGAAAGTAGATAGGCATAGAAACGTGAACTGTTCTTGTTGTGTCGCTTGACATTTCGTTGAATTGGGATATGGACTATATTTGATTTTGAACACATTTTGTTTTGTTTATTTGAAATACATTTAAACTTGTATTTGATTTGAATACACTTATATCCTTAACTTGAAATAAATTATTAAATTAAAATATATGTATAAAAATAATAAAATAAAATATATGTATATTATTTATCTGATTGGAATACATTTAAATTTTTTTTAATTGGAATATATATGATTGAAATTCTTCTTTTTATCCTTTAGCTGCGATTACTTGAAATATATACTAGGTAAAAAAAGTGTGCACTTTGTTTTCAGCGATTTTCCATTGCCCTTTATGCCTAATGTCCACGTATTTGGTATTAAAATCAAGATCAGAACATGTACATTATAATTGTGACTTTAAACTTTAAATTCCGGTGTCATACAGGATACGATTCTGTCTCGAGAATGGACGCTGTCCAAAAATGAAAGTTGCAAGACTACTCTGAAATTAGCAATTTCCACAATTCATCATTTCATTCTGCTGAAATTGGACATTCGATGTTAACTGTAGTCAGTATCGAGTGTGGCTACCTCGACTATTGATGCAAGCAGCAAGGTGACCTCGCATTGACCTTACGTAACGTCTAATAACGACGTTGGGGATGTTATTCCATTCTTGAATTAAGGCGTTTTCCAGATCCATAAGATTGTGTACATTCCCTCTAGCTCGAACCTTTCTACCAAGATAACCCCAGATGTGCTCAATCGGATTCATATCCGGTGACACAGCAGGCCAAGGTAGCTCTTTAACGTTATTTCTGTTTAGAAACTGTCGACATATCCTTGCAACATGAGGCATTGCATTGTCATGCATCAATATTGCAGGCCCATGCCTTTGCAGGATAGGAACAGTTTCAGGCTGCAGAATCTGGTTAATGTAACATTGAGCATTGAGATTACCTTGCACAACAATGAGATTTGTTTTCCTTTTGCCCATAATGCCACCCCATACCATAACACTCTCACCTCCAAATCGGTCCCCTTCAATGAGACAATAATCAGCAAAATGTTCCCCTCTTCTTCTAAAAACTCGAATAAGACCGTCATGATGACTATGGTTAAACCTAGAATCACTCGAGAATAGAACCCGAGCCCACTGCTGTCGCCCCAACGGAAATGCCGTTGTGCCCACTACAAACTGGCAGCTGTAAGCACTTGTCCCACATAGGTCCTCCTTGGTCGAATGGGTTGCCGGGCTTGCCTGATACCGTACTGCCTTGCAGAACGTGTCGCCGTTTGAAAACGACTAGAAGGTCAACGTAATGAACCTGTCCGTTCGAGGGTTGGTAACCCTCGGTCTACTGGGTCTACGGCGATCTGCTACCACACCTGTTTGCTGGAAACGCTGCACAGCCGAAATATTGTGTTTCTGTGACAACCGAACACTCTACTGACGTTGTCGCCACAAGCAAGCATTGTTTATGCTTGAGTTCGCTGATTTTGATTCAGTCTAGGCATGTATAGTGACAAGCGCTGTGAAATCAAATGTATTTTTCCCTATGTAGTGGGTATAAGGATTATGTCTATACACATTTCCTGTGACATGTACCTTCGCCTCGGACTGCACGTGCATATCATGCTATATGTTATGTATTGCCATATAAAGCGAAAATTCCGTGCCAGCACGGGATAGGTTTTTTATTGGATCGATGTATTGTGTACTTAGGACTAACCATGCCAAAGTTGCAAAAGAAACGTCTGCTAATTTTCTTTTGACTTTAAAAGCAACACTGCAGTTTGATTTATCGTTGTAAATATGATTTTGTGGTAGATTTTAGTTTTAAGAAATCTTAGTTCGTTACCGAGCGATTGTCTGAAATTTGCACTCGACAGGGAAGTTCAGGTTCAGTAAAGACAGCTGTCACTAACAATATGTTCATTAACGGTGGTTATCACTGTGTCAATCACCACCAATATGATGAACCTCATACTAAGGTGTTATCTAAAGGACAACATATGATTGCAGTTTCTACAGAATGTGATATAACAGATACTCACGTCCAAAGCGCCAACAATCTTTCTGAACATTTATAAACAACATCAACCTAATGGAATATCACCAAAATTTCTAGCTGTACTTAAATATAATAGAAGCAATACGGGGTGAAATGAACACCCTCATAAGAAGTGTTGGTGCAGTGCCACAAACTATCGCCTACAAATATACGACAATTGTTCAAAGGGGAATAAATAAACTCCAATATTATGAAAAATATTGGTTCACATCCATACGACAACGCTGCCAAGTTGTAATCAACAGTCAGGAGAGGCATATAATATTAGAATAATTTTCAATGATACATTTATTTTGTGACATTTGCTTATAACGCAATATCACTTTTATTCGGCATGTCCATCACATTTGTGTTTCTTATGAAATTTAATAATTGGAATGTTATATCATGTCTCTCAACTGTATTTTTTGAAAATTTCAGAAGGATCTTACCAAAATTGGCACACATATTACGCCATTTATACATGCACACGTATAAGATTTGTTAAGTGTATGTAGACCAGTCAATGTATTAAAGGAATGACAAGTGGTGTAACTACTGACATTGCTGGTCAGCAGATTAAGACTAAGACCCAGAAAAAAGTCTCTTCAACTTTATCATCACTGAAACTGTTTGGCGCCCGATATATGAAGGTGTTTACGCGATGCTCTTTTTGCATCGAATAATTAGCGAATAACTAAATATATCAATATCAGATGTCATCGACATGTATCATAATCAAAGATACATCAGCTACATTTTAATTACTTTGGATAAAGTCAAGAAAGCGCTTGCGTTTAAGTCTGTCACAAAACACCTGCAATACTTCTATATATACGTTTATTCAACCAGAAAAAAAACTTATAGCATACTTTAAAAGGCTGTACGGATAACCGATTACATTGTAATAGAACAATACAAGTAGTCCCTTTCCTTTCTCTAAACAATGGATCAAATATGACTTAATCAGTGAAATAAGATATATACATTAATGGCTTTTTAAATCTTCTGTTTTACTGATTCAGAATGAAGTTTTTTCTCATCATTTTTAAACAGAAAATACGGACAAATAAGTAAAAAAATTAGGATTGTTATATGATATAAAATGAGCTGGCATTGATATTGTTTTATTTAATCTTACTTTTATGTGTTCGTGTTATTTGCGTATGTATATGTATACGTGACCTTTGATGAGACATAGATCTTTTAAGGAATACATGAGAATTTACTTGGACCAATCTGAAATTTGTTATTATATATGCATTTCAACACAAGCGGTTGTCAAAAAACAGCTCCACGCCATTACACCGTAGTCAGTTGACCTTTAATATTTAAAAGGAAGATGGCGTATGGCCCAGGAGCGGATGAGAAACTTGTTAAACAGTTTGCTAAAGCCTGCAAGCTGTCTGGGAGTGATGATGAGACTCTGATGAATAAGAAGTGCAGTAGAAACATTCGAAAATTCTTCTGGGAGAAAATAACCGAGTTCGATGGACTAGACCTCCAAGCATGTGAAGAAGCAGTATTCAAAAAACTGTTGAACCCGAAAACAGGGTAAGTATTAATGTATCTGTGTCTGCAATTTGTAAATGTTTTGATCAACGTAACAAAAATATCATACTATCCAGTAAGCATTAGGGTTCATGATAATAGAGCTTGACTTATATTGATTTGACTTATAGTTTACCAGAAAGTCCTACGTGTCCAAGTAAAATTGTTTAAGAAATAATATCGGTCTCAGTGGCTACCTAACACCGATTTGTTCGTAGGAATTGACCACAAAGGCCGTATGTTTTCCTTTGTATTAGACATTAATTTCTCCATTTAAGTCATAACAATTTACATGATTCTACACTTGCAATTGGAAAGTAAGTTTTATGAATACTTTTCACAATACAATTAAGTCTTGAAATACACGTACAAGGTAATGGAAATATATTCAATAAGTTTAACATGTTTTATTTCCAATATCAAGATGTTTAAAGCTAATAAATGAACACCAAATGAAACATTTTTATCATGAGGCTCAAAGCAATATAAATAAAAGATTAAGTACAATGATTTAAGTTAATAAATGCGATATCAGACACACATTTACAAAATAGTTCAAATATTTAGAAGAATGGCATACCGATGTGGAGACTTTACAACTGCCGTTTGTGTGGCTTTTCATTTTTAAGAATTATAGTGGTAGATGGAGCACATGTAGAAGCGTACCTTACAGAGATGGCGCATGAAATAACTAAACGTAAAAGAGAAGACCCGAAGATTATGCGCAATGATCCTAGAGTAACCATGACCAAAGACTTTCTAGAGAAGATTGTAAGAGAGACAAAAGTGTATGTCACAGGAAAAGTAAGAATATTTTTGATGATTTTGGTGGTTAAGGACTTTATTTTGAAGTGATTAAATTTTAATTATATCAGAAGTGAAATGCGCAGAGGACGTTTGCGTTATAGTGAGTTGCGTTCGATTTTTATGAAATAAGAAGAAATGTCTAAACTATAGTTCATGTAATTTGGTCAGACGTAGCAAGTTTTCACTAGTAATGATATTTTGTAAATGAATAAATTGCACACGTTTTTTTTAATATCAGTACTTTAGCATTCATCATATACAAGTTTTCGTTCTATTTCATGATTATTTACGTGAAAATGGGAATGGTACAGTTTCATTCGAAAGAATTCATTTGACCGGGTTCCGTTGTATTCTTAGCATACAATTTGTTCCTTTGATTAACATGTATATGAAATTTAAACATTTAGAAACATTTAAGTTAGTATTTGTAGACATTGCCCACTATTTCAATCATTTATGAAAAGAATCAAGCGTTTTTAAAACATGCTTTGCTTGATTCATCTTTTGGACTACTGAGCTGCAATATATTTTCCTGTAAATACTCGCGTGTTTAAATCCCATGGGCACCTGATCACTGAACTGCAGTTTAAACAGCGGAAATTATTTGGTGACTTTGAATATTTTAAAGTATGTTAGTGTGTTTATTCATGTTCATGACGTCAATCTAATGAATAATATAGCAGTTACCACAATCTGATATAGGTAACTGATTAAGCTTGAGCTTTTGAATATAAATATCTCATCATAATATGCTTTAAAGTTCGTCAATCATAAACATACGGATGATGAAACAGTGTCCCAGAGTAGTACTTTAATTAGTAATCACCGAACATGTTAAATTATTTAATGAAGTATCGACGGATGTTGAACTGAGTGAGACAATGTCATTTTTATGTTTCAGGTAGAATATGTGGACGCTAAAGATATTGATGAGCCGACACGTACTGCATACAATAAGAATTTCCAATTTGTTAAACCAGAATTCCCCAAGGGCATCAAACAGATTTTTGATATCAGAAAAAGGAAACCAATTGTTATTGCAAAAAGAGACTATGGTAACTTGAGCTAGAAAAACATTTGGAATGACTGCAGTATTGTTTGAATAAAGTGTGTTACCTCGGAAGCGTAGTTTGAAAACATTGAACGGCTGGTCTTGTAATAAAGCCGAATAATTCTGTGCATGTTTGTCTTTGTCGTCTGTGTTTTGGTGTTGCAGTACATGTATTGTTATAACACATTCCATCGAATTTGTGTTTTGTTTTTATTGTTGAATTCTGCTCAAGCCGGTGCTAGGGGTGCGTGGACGTAGTTTGCACTTTACAGTACCGTCCATGAACAGGCGCAATCAAACCGAGTCTGCAACATTTTTCAATTTTGCCGTTTTGGACTTTATTTAGGGGGGATTCTTATTTTTCTATTTTATGTATCTTTTGTGTTATAGTATTAAAACTAAGCATTCATTTAAAATGTTTAAGTCACGTCAACAGAATGTTCTTTAGTTCAAATAACAAAAGCCGATTCAGGAGTACATGTATATATACAATCACATGATGAAATTACTTCGCTAACATGCATGTGAGATTTTGTTGTCATGTTCACATGCTATCTCATGATATTGATGTATTTAATTTATAGGTACATATTGTATGTTAAACACATTATTTTGAATATTTGAATTGAACAGGTAATATTCATAAAATAACACCACTCATCCGTTCGGCATTTTAACTGCATACATTTCTCTATTCTCTTTATAGATCCAGTTGTATTAACATAGAAAATATAAGATCAATCAAACACGCAAAGTACGGTGATAAACATGTCTTTCTCCGTCTCTAACATCAGTAGAACCTGGATCGATAAACAATAAAAAATAATGTTCAATAAAACACCAGTGATTGAATTCTTTGTTCATGTTATTGGGAAAGTTTCCATCTGTACAACTCGTTTGAATATATCTGTTATTAACTATAGAGGTTTTCTTCTTTTCATACATTATTAGGAGAGTGTGTGTTTGCGTGCGTTAGTGAGTATTGAACTCAATTTCTGTTGATGGCCAAGCTATGGGCTGTGTCACTAGTATGGCTTTTCCTACAAATATACCCTCCCTCCTGCTAAGCGTCATGCGTACGCTATCTTTTAACACTTCCGCAGTATCCGTTTCGGGATCAAACCCGAACCGACTCACCGTCGAGAGGCAGATCCTGGATCGATAGATTGTTATGAATGAGTGAGTGAGTGTTTGCGTGCGTATGTTCGTGTACTGTACGTACGTGGTCAATCTATGACATACATCACCAGTCTGGTCTGTCCAGTAACTATCCCCTCTCATGCAAAAAAAGCTACGGGTACGATTCTTTTCATTACCCGATTCGGAATCAAGCCAATGCCATCCCGCTGTCGAGAGGCAGACAATTTACGTTAAGGCCATCGATACTATTATTTATGAACAAAGATGTTTTCAAGGACACGACTGCAATAAAAATAGTCAATATATAGAAATGCATACATACGGAACATTTGTTTAAATTTCAATGGATCATGGTAGATAATTGGATAAGATGACGTTTGCTACAGTATTGCAATTTGCATTTTTACATAGACAAAGAAGGACGCACAGATTAAAAAAAAGCATTTAAAGAAATCATTATCTAGAACAAGTTTATAAAAAACGTATGGATCATATAATTACATTGGTGTAATTTAAAAACTTTGTTATCATATAGATTTCCATTTAAAAAAGAGAAGAAAATGTTTCACCTTGAAATAATGTTAAATGACAACTGCGTTGTTGTATTTGTGTGTGTGTGTGTGAGTTTATTTTTCCCCTTCAAAATAGCTGATTGCGGCGTTGATTTAATCAATCGCGCCGTTTTCTTGCAGATGTTTCCCCATTTATGAGGCTTATAAACAACAATAACAACATGCAGAACTGGATAAATCCAGCCTTAACTTGCCTTCGTAATGCAATATTCAAAATACTCTCGTTTTGGTGGGGTTCATTAACTATCAATATCAAGTTTGTTTATATCGCTTCAAGGTCAGATTAAGTAGTTCTATTGGGACATCAATAATATTTTTTGGTGACATGAGTAGCAAGTGAAATGCATCCAGTCGAGACTGATCACGTGTTCAATATTGTTAACAACAGTGTTGTTTACATTGGATACCTTCAACTCATTGCTTGGCCTAGACTCTGGACAAGCTACGAGTTTAAAGTTTGCTATTAGTTGATCGCCCCGACTTGAAGCGCTAGCATTGGAAATATAATTTGCAAAAGGTATTTATTTGTATATACAAAACTTAACGGATTTGTTATCATTGTAAGGCAGAAAAATGAGTTTTAACAAAATATAATAAAAAAATAAATTAAATAAAAGATAAACGCGGGATTACAGTAGACAAATAATAATTAAATGTTGATTTTTTTCAAATGTTCAATGTATTGAATTTACTCTAGGTCGCATTGTGCAAAAAATGAATAAATGAATAAATAAATAAATAATAAAGATGCACACGCTCATAGATCTAGCATGATTTCTCGATGGCAAAAACAATCCAAAACGATTAATAAAAAATATTTGGAAATGCTTTTTAAAATTAAAAAAAAAAAATTAAAAATTCGGACATTATATCTATATATCTTCATTTTTTATAATTATGTTAATTTCAATATATGTTTATTTGCTTCAACAGACTGTAAACATCTTAAAATTAAACAGATATCTATATTTGTCGATGTAATATTGCTATGTTCACGCAATCACATATTTACATAATGATCCTAACGATATTTTGAAGCACATAACACGTCCCCGATTTTCTCTATAATTGTCATAAACATAATCCAGTATCATCCAGTTTTCCGTGTCGTTTGCAAGGACTTGAATTAAGTGCCCAGTTCTTGTGAGACTTTCAAATATAGAATAATTAAGTTGGATATAATTTCAATATTGGAATATCTTATACACGTGTAAGTTTTTCTTTCTTTTTGTATCCATTTTCTATTAAACTCCGAACATGCAACCCTGGCCCAATGTAGTAAAGTGCTTACATATTATTAGAACTATTAATATTTAATTTCTGAAGTAATGTTTCAATGATCACAGAAGAACGTTACTGTTTTGCTGTCTTTTTTTTTTGATTTTGCTCCCAGTTTCAATTCAGAAATGGTACAAAACATATATCAATAAACAAAAAAATATTCGAACACTATGTGTGAATTTAACAATTCTACGAGTCCTTTTCTTGCGCAGCTTTGTCGCATTTACCTTTTATTACAAAAAGCATAAATTCGGGGAAAAAATATATGATAATTTCTACAAATTTGATTTCCATAACTGCCTATCGATACATGTAATGGGGTTTATTAAATAAGACTTTTTAGCAAAGGGAGGCAACTAGTATTAGTAGTCAATATATTTTTTTCTATTGATCTCCCTTGAAAATGAAAAATTTCTTTTTCAGATTTTTTTCTTTTTCACGAAAGGGCTATCAGAAATTTGAAATAATAATTAGTTACATTGTGCTTATGGTGTTTATGGTTTATGGTGTAGATGCTTTAAAGTTGATATCTTGAATTTCAAAGATGTTACGTACATATAGGCAATAACATGCTACTGTCTTTTGATATCAATTTATCAGGCGATGATGATATGGGCTGTTGGTAGCTCAGTTTATGGAATCCTGAATTTTCTTAATTAAGCTTGGCAAATCCACTTTACAAATTTAGGTTAAGGTTCCAAATCTTTATGAGATATATAATATAGTTTAGATGGTCGCATTTTCGTAAGTACAAATGCACGAATGTCATCCAGAAAATTCGTATAATGTTTTACCAAATTCTAAATAATCACGGGAGCTTTAAAGAAACCACATATTAGTATTCTTCAACAGCATTTCTTTACATTTTATATATGTAAATTGCAGAAAGATATAGTTACAAACTTATTTTCACAGTTAAAACAAATAAGCATATAACCCATACCTGGAGCACCATCCAACGTCAATATAAAAATGACGTCGCTGTAACATGTTTTTATTTCGTAAGTCACGAGTAATACATACGCAGTAGAAAATCGGTAAAGAATTTAAAATAGGCTGACATATCACACGTAGCCTTATTTTGTTAACAGACCGATTTACATATGTTAAAATCCGCAAATTTACATTGTAACTATCTTTTTTATTTTAGATAATTCAAAATGGCAGAAAAGGCGGCACCTCAAGGGGATCCTGATTCCGATGCAGAGTATGAAGAATTAGTAAAAAAGTTCGGAGAATTCAATGCCGCTTCAGATCTTGTTAAAAAAGACAAGACGAAGTTGACAACAAAGGCGTGTGGTAAAATGGTGAAAGAATGTCTCAATGGTGATTTTGGGAAATACAAGGTTTGTGAAAGGACCGACGCCAGCGTTTTCCCCGCAGTGAAACCTACACGTCAAAAGTAAGTGTTTTTAATAAATGGTGCAGCTTACATATATAGGGACCTTTATTAAGTAAAATTTAAGAATTAAGTAATTATACGGTATTGCTTGTGGAAAGACATTTCAGACCCCAAACCCCGCATTAGTGTAAGCATTGTTAAGTCAGTATAATTGATAGAGTTGCAAAGATTTGGAATAGAATACCATCTAATATCCGTTCTTCTAATTCTCTGACATCTTTTAAAAATAAATATAAAAAACATATCTTGCAGCGTTTATGACAAATCTTACAGAAATACTAAGTAGTTGTTATTGTTTAATGATGTTTCGTGTTTGTGTTTCTATATATTGTTTAGAAGGCTACATTTAAAATTAAGATATGTTAATTGTTTTCAACGATGGTATATCTTCATGTTATACCTCAATTTTCATGTATCATTATTATTATCAGGGTGTCATGCTTTGATAAATGGCCTTTGTCCTCAATTGCTGTTTATGTGGGTTATGTGAACCAATTCGCAGATACTTGCGAAATATATATATAGTTTTGTAGAGTAGGATGGAAGTGTTTTAAATAAATAATGTTTACCTGGCATGAAATTCAAACCAAACGAATGTAACCAATTATTTCGTCGATATAACTTTGTGTTTCACAAATCAAAAATATGAGCCGCGCCATGACAAAACCAACATAATGGGTTTGCGACCAGCATGGATCCAGACCAGCTTGCGCATCCGCGCAGTCTGATCAGGATCCATGCTGTTCGCTTACATACTCTATAACAAGTAGAGAAACTTATAGCGAACAGCATGGATCCTGGTCAGATTGCGCGGATGCGCAGGCTGGGTGGATCCACTATGTTGGTTTTGTCGTGTCGCAAACCCACTATGTTGGTTTTGTCGTGACGCGGCTTAAATATAATTTGATATGGTTTACTTCAGAGATATGCCTTTGAACAAGGAAACTGTCAAAAAGTTTTGTTATAAACTTGGACATGAGATGGCTAAGGAAAAACACAAGTCAAAGTCAAGCACTCTAAAAGAAAATGACAAGGAGTGTCAAGAATGCAGGCACACAATCAAAAAACTCTTTAGAGAAACAAAACCAGGCAATTCAGGAACGGTACTGTATTTTATAAAAATAAAAATATTTAAAGGTTTAACAGTTTTGTTCGAAGAAATATTAAAATATAGTTCTTCTCATAGATACCACCACTAAATTCAATGATGCATACAATGCTGCACCTGGTGGTTGTCTTATGTCTGGTGGTTGGCTTACATCTTGCATATCAGACACGACTTTCTTGCATATGAATTAGGGTTATCTACTGTTTACTCCAGTGCTAGAAAAACCTGCCTCACAACTCCATGTAAGACAAGTCGCGTGTTTAAATGACGTCATTCACGCACCATAGATGTCCGGCACGACATTGTTGCTGTGTATACATGTTATGTGGTAATTTTAGTTTCTTAAATTTGGCATTTTTCATCTTGGGTGGTTCAAGTATCCCTACTTGAATACTGTATAAACACCCTTATGATATGTTGCCTGCCTTTTGACGTCTTATCTGTGATATGCAGGTTTCATAAGCTCAGATCCCCTTTCAAAATTCCATTTTATTTAGTTCCGCCCATTGTTTTCTCGTTTAGGACACACGCATTCTTTTACTTTGGGACCATACGCCGCTTTTCATGGAATGGCACTACTTTGTAACATTGAAGGTTCCATGATAACCGCCGTATGAACACATCTGCGGATGTTCTAAATTCAAAACTTCACCATTTTCGTGTTTAAATGTTGAACACTGCTTAAGCCGGTGATAGCGGGCGTGGACGGTAACTTGCACTTTCCATTACCGTCCGACAGGCCCAATCAAACCGAGCCTGCAACATTGTCAATTTTGCCGTGTTGGACTTTCTTTACGGATTCTGTTTTTCTATATATTTTATGAATGAATTGCGTTCTTAAGATGACGACTTTTTACCATTATGAATTTAGTTGTAAATTTAATTATACGCTACTAATAGAACAAGTCAATATGTATAGCCAATCAAAATTTTTGTAAGCTGTTCATAAAGATATGGAATGAATGAAAATTTTATTCTTCAAATGAGCCGCGTCACGACAAAACCAACATAATGGGTTTGCGACCAGCATGGATCCAGACCGCGCAGTCTGATCAGGATCCATACTGTTCGCTATTAGTTTCTCTTCTTGTAATAGGGTTGGTAAGCGAACAGCATGGATCCTGATCAGACTGCGTGACTGCGCGGATGCGCAGGCTGGTCTGGATCCATGCTGGTCGCAAACTCATTATGTTGGTTTTGTCATGACACGGCTCATATATTGAATATTTTTCAGAAAGCGTCAAAGACCGGTGGCGTGGACCGGTTGACAGATACCAAACATTACACTGGGAGTCACAAGGAAAGGTTTGACGACACTGGAAAAGGAAAGGGGAAAGAAGGACGTGAAAATCTCCATGCAAATGACGGATATGTGGGACAGTACAAAAATAAAGATTCTTACGACAAAAAGAAGAAATAGAATTGAACAAAAACATAGCCCTTGACGGTTTCTGTTATACATTGTATTTTATTCTATTATATGGATGTGTTTGGTTAAAATGTATATTAATGTAGTTTTGACTTTATATAAAATTAATTTATTGTACTCTTGAAGTTACTTCAAATTGTGCACTTAATAAATAAGTACAAAGAGTTCAGTTTTGAAATGTGTTTGACAGATATGATTCATATATTGAGGTACATTTACACTTATTGGTAATGCTTGTATTTTTTGTTGTTGCTTTTTTAAAATGTTTTTTTGTGGTTATTTGGATTTCTCTGCAATATCAGTTGCGACTGCATTTCATCCAATGTGATGTGTTGAATAGCGTATTCATTGACGTCACTATTGTAATGACGCATGCTACCGGAAAATCATTAACATTTTTGTTTCGTGATTTTTTTATTCTATTTCGTACAGACCTTATATATACTGTTTAGAGACTATTTTGATGTAATTAATACAAAAAATGCACAACTTACACGTTTATATTCGAATAAAATGGTGATGTACATTTAGGAAGTAAATAATAACTGTTTGCATATGCGTAAATAAAATTTAACAATGTGTTAAGAAAATATAATAAAAATGTTGTCCATAATCTTAAAAATGATAGTATATCTCGAAAACCTTTTGATACTTACTTTGATAAAAAAAAATTTGGAAGTTAAGAACTAAAAGCTAAAGAATTATTTACATGATTATTATTTATATTATACAACATTTGACTGAATTTCAATAAAAACATCATTTGTTCACTGTATGGGTTGTTTTTAATGCGATGTATACGATGACGTCATAATTTAACGTAAGAAATGGAATCTCTAAAGAACGCACAAAACGATATAATTAAAGAATAATAAATTTGAGCCGTGTCACGACAAAACCAACATAATGGGTTTGCGACCAGCATGGATCCAGACCAGCCTGCGCATCCGCGCAGTCTGATCAGGATTCATGCTGTTCGCTATCAGTTTCTCTACTTGTAATAGGGTTTGTAAGCGAACAGCATGGGTCCTGATCAGACTTCGCGGATGCACAGGCTGGTCTGGATCCATGCTGGTCGCAAACGCACTATGTTGGTTTTGTCATGGCGCGTCTCAGATGTCAAAGACAGCATGTGCACTGTAGTTCAAACACATATGTTCAAAGTATGCATGTGTATTAAAACGAGCTTGATCCATAACTAAATACAAAGATTGGTTCTCAAACTTATATAATTTCATTCAAAGAAATTTAAATCTATTGTTTTAGCATCATACAGAATATATAATTCCAGGGAAATATAAATATTTTTTTTATTTTAAGGCAAAGTTTGTGCCGTTCAGGTCTGGCCATATAATTTGTATCATAATAACTTAAAGTATCTACAGAGAATTAATAGACGTCACGATTATCCAATGAAAATCTTCGTTATAGAAATTAAGTGCACTGAAGACTATTATTATAATATCAATACCCACCGATGAGTCATCCCGTATACTAAAATCATATAAACGTGTGTATCATTTTTACTTAAGAGTCATATTTATAGGTCTTCTTTATATTTAGAACAACTATTTATTTGATAGTAAAGCCAAAGTAAGGTTCTCTCAGCAAAATGAATGGATAGCGAAAAAAAACACCATACCGAGCAGTATTATTACAAATGCTATTGTATACATATTGTGAACGTTTTTTTTCCTGGAACAATTATTGCTTGACACAATTTGCCGGAATAATCAATAGAAGACGCTGGTCACGTGACACAAATATTTACTGAGAAAAATCTAGGTCTTTGGAATTCGGCATCATAGTTAAGACGGATTAATCGATGAAAATTGTAAGTGTTTTTGTCTTTCCTTTTCTTTAAATATGACGTCAGATAACAATATACTATATATCGACTTTACCAATTTTAGCTTTAACTTACGCTAGATGCATACATGTACTTCTATTAATGAACAAAAAAAAAGTCATTGTAAATATAGACATACAAGAAATGTAAAGAAGTAACCAATTAAGTGACCTTTGACTATACTGAAATAATCAGTGACAGAAAATGGGTTGACATCATATGGAAATGTGTTTAAATCACAAGAAATGTGTTCACTTCACATGTGTTCACATCTTATGGAACTGTGTTCGTAGAACACTTTTACAAGCACTGCTATCAGATAGGTGACCCGGCTTTAGGAAGATAATGGCTTTAGTTATTTGATTTAATAAACGTGATTTGATTTGCGCCTAGGGATCACGGGGTTCGTATTCTCAGTTCCTGAAAGGGCGGATGGACTCTCATCAAGCCTATAGAATACATATATACATGCCCGGGGATCTTGGCGTGGTCATTTTTCACTCCAGTGCAAGTCAGTTTACCAGTAGTGGCGGAATTGGAGATTGGTTAAAATAAACTCAATGATTCCATATAAATTTAGTTGAAACACATTTATTTGAAATAATTTCATGAATTCATCTTGTCGACACTAAGTAGAATCGCCTAGAAGAAAAACATTCCCCTTTCTTGCCTTTTTCCCAAGTATATTAACTCACGCTGTCACTGAATTAAAATCGTGTTTCAGACTCAACTCCAGTTTGAACAGAACACGTCGAAAAAATTCGCTCCCACAGAGAGCCAAATTATGCAATGAAGCTCCAGAGCAGAAAATAATTAAAAATATGACATGTATAAAATCAGCACCAGAAGTGTTGGCTCATTGAAAAATATTTGGCAACGTCGATTATGCAATACGTATGTTAGTAATTTGTAGCGAATTGGCTTTAAGTGCCTAATTGTTTATGCACGTTATTCGCGTGCGATCAATTATAACAAGTAATTTCCGATCAATTATATTACTACCAACGGGAGTGTCGTTATTCGCGAGTAAAAAAGACCCATTATATGTTTTCATATATAAAAAATACATCCAATTAGATATTTGTTCAAGAACGACGAAATTAAAAGTTACATATTTTGAAATTTCATCTGGATATAGCATTTCTCTAATATTAACGAGTTGGGATGCAAAGTTATTCTTATTTTTCCTGAATTTTTATTCTAGCTCCATAAATTAAAATTTGTTACGGTCTCAAATTAGTCTTCAAGGGATAATGCTATCCAAACGTCTATATAGTCATTTCAGGACCTTTAACGACCATTGATATAGGCCAAATTCCCCTCTACTCATCGGGGTTGATAGGGCCTGGGTACCAGTGACTTGTGCCTTAGTAGTAATCATGCAGTTAAAAAGGATGACATCAAAGAAACCATTAGTAAATGTGACATGTTACTTTGTGAATTATACATAGTGCCTGTCCCAATTTAACGGAGTTCTTTCGAGACTTCAGTATACAAGTCTCTTAAATATGCAATGGAATAGTTTCATCAACTGACTGTTATCTATTTGTATCAACAAAATCTAATGCCCCGTTTGTTGTAGGTTATTAACTGATGCTTCTGTTGATGGTAATGGAACAGTATCGATCTTGTATCATGGTATTCCCCTCCGAGTTTCCCGCCGATTCATTACTCACTGTATTGGTACTGCTACACGATATTTCTCTCCATATTACCCTAATTTTCTGCCTGTTTATCAATTACTGTATTAGTACTTTTACAAGTATACCTGCTAAGCTATTAAGCAGCATGCCTCCAGATGAGCCAAAATATGTAAGTTATTTCATAGTTGACAAAAATGTACAAATATTTAAGAAAAAGTAAAATGATTCAAGATTCAAGTAATAATTTACATATTTTGTGCGATTAATGACTAATTTTTCAGTATTTATCACAATACTTCTACTGCGTTACTAACGCAGTAAGGGATGTTTTTGCATATTGTAAGACATTTTGTAACCTCTTTTTGGTAATTAACGTGGGTTGCAAGTGTCATTGGTTACTTCACAATATTATGCTTTAAATACATTTTCAAAATTTTCAAGAAAATATCATGAATCTGGAGGCATGCTGCTTTAAGTTCTATTATCCATAACTGTATTGAAACTGTAACGCGTAGTTCTATATTATTCAACTGTATCAATTCTGTTACACGATTATTCCCGTTGACTGGCCGCGGCTGTCATTCATCACATTATCGGCTCTGTTCTAAGAATATCTCATTTTAGTCCCGCTACCATTCATCAATCAGTGTGTGGATACAATTACGTATATTAGATTTACTTCTTCAGCTGTAAGTTTTTCCATATTAACAGAGCTCATTTATCTTCTACAATTATACATAAAAGGAGCTAATTTGTATAGACAGGATCATTAACTGATTTCCTTCGAGCGTATTTTGTTTACAGCCTGTGTAATCATTTTATCAATTGAACGTGAAAAATGTAATGTAATGTACTTTTGTTTTGTTTTAATGGCAACACTGACACATAACTGGTCCGAACACTATAATAAAAAGGCCGCAAGGTCAAGGGGTCCGTACTGTCAGTGAATGGAGGGCAGATGGACCCTCATTAAGCCAAGAATATACAGTTTATACAAGAGAGATAGTATGCTCCTTTCTCAGCCCAGTGAATACATCCCCGTAAGATAGTGAACGATAGTGAAACTTTCCAAAAGCGAGCTAGTTAAATCCCAGAATACAAGCCCACTTCTCCCAGGCAATCGACCAAGAGCCTGGATGGAACTGAAGCAACAAGTTCCCTAAGTGAATCAAATCGACAAAATCCACCAATATAAACAAACAATCTGATATGCATGTTGTAATACTGAGTTTTCATTGAAAAATCGAAAAGAAAGATATATTATTACATTTTAACTGACGATATGTACAGATTGAATTATTCGCTTTATCATTTTCTGGTTGATGTGTCGTTCTTTTCCCATCAAATTTGTCAATCTTCTGGGTCCATTAATTTTTTCTATAAAGATCTAAATTGGTTATAGTCAGGGCATGTATCGATAGCAAGGGGAAAAATAATACAAAAGTGTATCATATATTTTCACAATCGAAAGAAACATCGGAAAGAAAAAAATAGAAATTTATAATGTATTAGTTGGTCAGGGAGCGATTCCCCATTCACAATGCTGTTATCTATTGATCAAAATGAGCCGCGTCATGACAAAACCAACATAATGCGTTTGCGACCAGCATGGATCCAGACCAGCCTGCGCTTCCGCGCAGTCTGATCAGGATCCATGTTGTTCGCCTACAAATCCTATAACAAGTAGGGAAACTGATAGCGAATAGCATGGATCCTGATCGGACTGTGCCGATGCGCAGGCTGGTCTGGATCCATGCTTGTCGCAAACCCATTATGTCGGTTTTGTCATGACGCGGCTCAAATAGTATGCCCTCAACGAAGCTCGCCAAAACCTCGGATGCTGAACAGTTCTTCTCACTGCTTCTGCTTCGTCAACAATGTCTTAATTTTGTATATAAAACGTAGAGTGATGGACTGAATTTATTACCTTAAAATAAATGTGTTTCTTAAAATGATACTTTTGTGATGACAAACAAAACACCAACAGGCTATATATAAAAGATAAATAAAGGATATTCAAGTTTTTCTCTATAAAAACAGGGGTTATTTTCATCGGATGGTATGTAAATAAAATATTTCTCACGAGCAGCAATAGCTATGAGTGAAATATGATAATTTTCATATCACGAAAATTTTAAGTTATCATTGAAAATACAGAAAATATGTTGCACTACAGTAAGATAATTTTTAATGAAAACGTGCATTTTATTTCAACAACATTTCTCAATATTTCATCATAAGTATATAATAGAATATCACGTTTTAGGAAAGTCACATTATTATATTTCAATACAAACGTATTTTATGATTTAAACTTCATACATACACTGAATATTTTATTAGGAAATTTGTCTCGATGCACGCGTCATTCAAAATAATTTTAATTTGATCTCGAAGCAGTATATTTTTTAACTTTGATTTAATTAAAAATGTAGAAAAAAGCAAACGGCGTTAAAGTTTTACTGAAATCGAAATAGAACACGAATGCAATTTCCGTGAAATCAACTGATTTTACAGTAATGAGTGTATCATATTCACCACAGTGATGAAGTACGTATCATATTCACTACAGTGGTCCAGCTGCTTCCTTTACTTATGAATGAGGTCGAAACTAACAGTGATGCAAATACAAAATCCTCTCTGATGATTCATAAGGAGACGCCTCCCCTCTTGCTTACAATATTTTCTTAGCTGATGATAGATTAAGTACTTTACTACAACGTTTAAGGGGTGAATTGATTGTAATATGTAACATATTTCTATGTTTGATGGATATGCTTCATTCATGCAAAGCGGAAGAAAAACAACAATAATTCATTTTTTGTTAACGGGCAAATTTGTTTAAAGTGATACGAAACAATAAACTGTTTGTTTGAACGGTAAGATCTTGTTATGTTTTATAATTTGGATGAGGTTTTCTAGGGAAAAAGGTTGTGTTGAAGTGATTTAAATGTTTGGAGGAAAATGTGAAACGAGAAACAAGAGTTTGTTTCCTTTAATGTATACGGTTAAATGGTAAATAAGTTGTTTTTGATAGAGACATTTAGAGTGTCTTTATAAATGATGAATTTTGCATACTTTCAATTTAAACTGTATCTTTTGTTGATGGTTAACAAATGTCGCATATGTCGCTTTACTTTGAACGGATTTGCCTATACTAGGTTCGTATGTTTAGTTTCTTTAAATATGTACATACTCATATAATATTTTGTTTACATTTTTATTGCTGTTAAAGTTACATTTTAAGACAATCCTATTTAAAAAACGTTTTTGGTCAAATTTAGGAACTATGGCGTCAAATGGTGATGACAAGCCTGCATGTCAACATGGCGAAGATATGTCCGGTTCCGATGCAGCGTCAGGGGGACAGTCTCAAAATGATGATGTGAATGTAGATTTGGCAGAAAAGTTTTCTGCTTTCTGTGACATAAAAATGAAAGACCATTTTACCTCAAAAGCCTGCAATAAACTAGTGAAAGACTGTTTAGAAGACCATTTTAAGTTTAAAAAGGTCATTCTTACCAACCGAATAGATTCCAGTGTGTTTTCAAAGTGCAAAGAAAAAAGTAAACCGTAAGTTTGTGCTATATAATCATTCATATTTTACAGAATAGTTTAGGATAATGATCTCTAAACCTTCCACATTAGCTAAATGTTATGATTTTTTTTCTCATTAATTAAGAAGGGTACACATGAAATGCGAACATTTAAATAACAATAAATACTCTTTATGCCTTGGCTTTTACTTAACCAGACAATGCGGTGTACTAGAAACTACTTTGCTGAATATCGCATTCCTGTTTATATTCTTTATGCCTAAATCATTTTTGCCGAATTCATTAAGCTACAAATGTGGCCACTTGTAACATTGATAATAAAATACAGTATGTTCTTTTTCTGCAGGCACATGATCGTCAATAAAGGTAACTGCGAGAAATTCGTGCAATTTACAGCATTCGAGTTTGCAAAGCTGAAAACTGGCGATGAGAAGCTTAGTAAAGATGACCCTAAAGTAACTGAAATGTATGCAAAGGTCAAAGATAAAATATTGCATTCAACAGGACCCAAAATTAAAACTGTTGTAAGTTGTGCTTTTAAATTTGTTATTCCTCTCTTCGAACAAACTTTTATTAAAGGAACTCCACTGTAGTTCAAAAGCATAAAAACATAAAATTTTAGTTTCTTACATAGATTAGCTTGGATATATATAGAACAGAAAGATGTGCAAAAGAAATTAAGAAATTTACAAAGAAATAAATTAAGAATCGTATTGTTGTGGTATTCTTAGCACTTTTTGAGTGAAAAGCGTTTCAACGCTTTTCAATTTTGGGTCATTTTTCACAATAAGAATAATATCTTTGGAAAAACGGAGTGAGCGAATGGTCTGATATTTTGCACACAAGCTATTGGTCTAGATCTAAATCAAATGGAACATGAATATCGAAAAATTATTTCCAGTCCTGTCCATAGGTTTTCGGCGCGTTGATTGGTCACCACCCCGGGTCCGACCCCCCACCCACTCTACAACCCTCCTTCCTCTCAAAACAATGTAAACTGCAGTATTTTTCATTTTAAACATGTTTTAATATTTGGTACATGCTTTTTATTCAATTTCCTTTATTTCCCACAAAAAATGATACATATTTATATTTAGTAAATATATATGTATCAATTTTTTATTTTTTTGCGGGAAATGAAGGAAATTGAATTAAAGCATAAACCAAATATTAAAACATGTTTCAAATGAAAAATACTGCAGTTTACATGGTTTTGAGAGGTAGGAGGGTTGTATAGTGGTGAGGAGTGGGGTTGGGGGCGGGGGTAGTGACCAAACAACGCGCCGAACACCTATGGTCCTGTCATGTCAAAAACCTCAGTCGAGTCCCTTTAATTGTATTGAGCCTAGAAACATAGGACGAGAAGTACAATTGATAATGATGTTATTGAAAGGTAGAAATGGTGTCCGTTTTTGCTCTTATGGAATGTACCTGTCATTCTATCTTTGGTTCACATCATTTATCCTTGATTTAAGAAAATCTATGATAAAAGGGCCATCACTCCGATTTAAAAGACTGGATCGAAAATACAAAATGCTTTACTAAATCGTTCCTATAGTTAAGCAAAGTTCGTTCCTTAAAATGTAAGTAACGTTTCCTTTCAAACAATCTTAACGGGGACAGATGAACACTTGGACGGACGGACGCACACAAGGATCGTACGATTGCATAACTAGAAAACAATTGCTTGGTGCTTAAGGACATTTTGATTAAAGTGGACGATTGTAATTGATATATATATAATGTATATATAGAATATATAAATGCTTGGTGGTTTGCAGATGCAGGTAATATCACAATTTGTCCAGAGTAAAAAAACTACATGAAAACCAGAATTCTAGACAGAAGAGTTGCCAGCATTTCTGTTAGATGTATATTTTATATCAGGTTTAGATAGATATCTACAGTCCTACGCATAAACCCAAAATTTCCAGTTTTTCCCCAAAATTTCCTATCTCTGGCCAGTGATGAGCATTTAATTATAATTACATGGCTTGTCACAGTATACACTGATAGCAGCACCCTAGAATGTTTTATGATCCTATCATGTTTCAAGAATGTATAGTTTTATTATTAGCTGGAGGATATAGAGAACATTTTAGATATAAGGAAAACTAAGATTTTCATACTAAGATTTTCATAGATACATTCAATTTTAAATAAGTTAAAGACTAAAAAGACTGGATTACATTAAAGGATTTTAATCACTTACAACTCACAATCACAGGGACTCGGTACAGCATTGGGATAGTGTACAGCATTGGGATAGTGTAAAAATTAATTTTAGAAACAAAAATATTTTATAAGTTTTTTATTTCTAAAATTCTGAGTATAAAAGGATGATGATTCTGAAAATATTGATGCGAGAGTTATGTAGCTTGTCATGTTATTGTTTAAAGTTAGAAGTAAATTCTTTCATAAATAAAGAAGTAAGAGCAAAAAATATAAATATATAAAAATAATATATATAAAGAAGAGCTGTCACAGAACGTGACAAATGCCCCTAAAGGATTCTAGTTATAAACCACCTATAACATGTTAAGTGTGGTGGTAAAAATTGACAAAGTTCGAACCCCAGCAGTGACCTTTAAGTGATAGACAAAGAAACCTGGGTCTTGTTCATAACACATTGTCCATTTATGGTGACTTTATATTTTAAAAAAAAATTGAAACTTTCATGTATATGGAAGTTACAGAGCGGACACAACAACAACCATTTATATGTCTTAAGGGCAACACATCATACATTTATGATGATTTCATATGTGAAATAAAAAATATAATCCTTTCATGCATATTAATTTCAGAGCATACACGACCATCTCTGCCTATATGTATATTAACATCAAAATTGACAATTGAAAGTTTGAACCCCCACAGTGACCTTGACCTTAGTCGTAGGAACCCGAGTCTTGTTTCTGACACACCATACATCTATGGTTATTTCATATATGAAAAAATGAAAGAAAAATTAAAATCCTTTCATGCATTCTGAAGTTTCAGAACGGACACGACCACCACTGTCTATATGTATGAAGTGGGACGGACTGACAGACGGACGGTTCGATTTTAATATGCCAACCTTCGGGGGCATTATAACATCTAAGTTCAAAGGGGAAATAATTCTGGAAATATCCATGCTAGAGTTATGAATATTGTCACACATGTATAAGGAACATATATTTTAAGTTAGAAGTAGATACCTTAGGAAATAAAGAAGTAAGTAAAAAGTAACATTTTGTTAGGAAAAAAATGAGTTCATGGGGAAATATTCTGGAAAAATATTGGTGCTAAAGTGAACAACATTGTCACATATGATGTAGTCGTCGGTAAGGAACACATATTTGAAGTTTTAAGTCAATCCCTTATGATGAAATGAAGACGTAGAGTAAAAAATAACATTATTTTATGGAAAATTATATGTTCAAAGGGAAAATGTTCTGTAAATACTGGTTTTTGTCAGTTTAACACCTTATCACATGATGTGTATTATGATAAGGAATACATGTGTACATACAGATGTATAATGAAAATTAATGACCCTTCGGGACGGGGCCAATTTTTACCACAGGGCTTTGATCTGAACAAACTTGATAGACACTCAGTAAAAGGTGTTTCATACCAAATATCTAAGCTCTAGCTCTTTGGATTTTTGTGTCGCCTCTACGGAGTAGTGGCGACATATAGGGATCACTTCTCCGTCGTCTGTCTGTCTGTCTGTCTGTCCGTCCGTCACAAAACTTGTCCGGACTACTGCTCATAAACTACTGGTGCAATTTCATCCAAACTTTACAGGAATGATCAGTACCAAGTCTAGTTGTGCATATTGTCAGCATTTTCTGGTTCAGTGATTTTTGTCAGAGTTATGGCCCTTTAATAATTTTTAATTTTAAAGTTTGTCCGGACTACTTCTCTTATACCACTAATGCAATTTCAATGAAACTTTACAGGATTGATCTGTAGCTCAAGTCCTTGCGCATATTGCACGGGTTTTCCGGTTGAATGATTTTTGGCTGAGTTATGGCCCTTTGACAAAAAGGTGTTTTTTTCTGTGTGTTGCCAGATACACAAAAGCTTGTCCGGACTACTCCTCATAAACTACTGGTGCAATTTCATCCAAACTTTACAGGAATGATCAGTACCAAGTCTAGTTGTGCATATTGTCAGCATTTTCCGTTCAATGATTTTTGTCAGAGTTATGGCCCTTTAATAATTTTTATTTTTAAAGTTTGTCCGGACTACGTCTCTTATACCACTAATGCAATTTCAATGAAACTTTTTACAGGATTGATCTGTAGCTCAAGTCCTTGCGCATATTGCACGGGTTTTCCGGTTGAATGATTTTTGGCCGAGTTATGGCCCTTTGATAAAAAGGTGTTTTTTTTCTGTGTGTTGCCAGATACGCAAAAGCTTGTCCGGACTATTCCTCATAAACTACTGGTGCAATTTTATCCAAACTTTACAGGAATGATCAGTACCAAGTCTAGTTGTGCACTGTCCGTCTGTCTGTCTGTCACAAAATTTGTCCCAACATGAAATTGGCCATCATGAGGCGACACATGTGATTACTGATCGCTCTTGTTTAAAAGAAGAGTTTATGAGGTTTTTTTTGGTTGCTTTGGCATGGGATTTTATTCTTGAACACCTTTGGTAGAGCTTTATGCAAGGTACACTCCTGCAATGGCTAAGTGGTTTAGGAGTAGAAGTTGTTTAAATAAATTTTTGACGCACGGACATTGTCCTCAGATGAGCTAATTAAAAATAAAAAAAGTTAGAGATAAAATATTTACTGCACATAGGCATTAATTTAAAGTATGTACGCTGGCGCCAACTTACAAACCGAGGTGAGTATGACAGCTCTACATATACTTTATATAGTCGAGCTAATAATAAAAATATCACTTACCTGGTCACTTAGTTAAGAGTCTTGCACTTTGCAGTAAAAAATTACAATTATCTTGTGATATTAAGTATATTTACAAATAATTCAAATAATTGCTAGTTTCACAATTCACTTGGGCCGCAGTCCCAGAGAAAAAAAAAACATCGATAAAAAGTGAGTGTATCTTCAGAAATTTGATCCTTCAACATTAGGGCCATTAGATAAGAACACAGAGGACCAATTAACGATGACAAGACTCTCAACTCAGTGGACGTGTTAATGGGAGATATACAGTTAATAGTGATTTACTAGCTGATAAGCCCTTACTGAGATTCAGCAGGCTGGGAGGGTTTATGCGTAGGACTGTCTAATGATGTAGATGTTTTACCGTGCCTAGTTTTATCTAGAGTATTGATAACCTTCCTGTTGTAGCGTTAATACTTATCAATCAAATATATCTAGGAATTTATTAGAAAAATATCATATGAAAAATGGTATATATTTAGACTAAGTGTTTCCATCCATCTATTGCTCGTTCGAATTCGGCTTTTTTTGAAAGTTTCCGTATCTGTATTTATTGAGGTGGAAAAAATTTCTGCTACTGCTTATTCTGGTGCATATTTTAAATTTGGATCGAAAATTAAATTAAGAAAGCAACCTAGCCAAATTAAAACTGTTGTAGTCTCTGGTTGAGCCTGTTTAATATGGACAGTGTTTGATATACAAGCTGCGCCGTCCATGCCCCATAGCACCGGCTAAATTAGAATTCGACACTCTACAAATATACAAACTGTTCAATTTAGAACTTTATAACATTAGCATGTATCCAATTTGGGTAATTTAGAACGTTACAACATCAGAAGATGTGCTGTGACAGCGGTGATCATGAATTTTTTTTATTATTCATTTTTCGTGCCAGTCCGTTAAAAACGGTATTTGAGCCCTAAGTAAAATAATGTATGCACGTTCCCTAAGATAATAAAACAAATTAATGGGCGAAGCCGGATAAAAAAATCTATCTAAGGCAGATATCAAAAGACACGGCTTATGTAAAAAAAATATTGAAACCTTACAAAAATAGTCAACGGAAAATGGCGACATATACAGAATAATTGGAACAGCTGTCTCGTATAATAATCGAAGATAGAAGGAGAAGTTATTGCGTTTAATATCAGATTGTTCAACCATTTGCCAAAAATAAGAAATATGCCAAATGCTTCATTTATTCTAAACAAATTTCTATTGATAAAATGAATGTACCATCTTTACTATTGAAATTCTACATCGGAATCTGTAGCGACGGTTGTGAATCAGTTACATTCCCTATTTAATATAATCTTCATGTCTGAACGTCTCAACTTTGAAAATATATTTGACGTAATGATTCTACCTCAATTACTAGATCTCTTAGTTTTCAAAAAAACAGAATTATAATAAAACGGGAGATAGTCTGTCAGTAAAAAACATAAATGCTTATTTCTTTGAAGTTAATATAATGTCTTCTCAATATTTAAATCAGTTCACAAGCATTGTAATAGTTATTAAATCCCATCCAAATGTTCATAATCCTTCTTTACACATTCGTGTTTTAGTTCCAATTTTGTTCATATCATCCTTAATGGGTTTTCCAATTACCTCCCCTGGCGATTCGTAGTTAGGGGTATTATCTGGGATAAATCACATTCCGTTGTGTTCTTATAAAATCTTTCACCTATTTTTTTTTTTTTTTACTTTTTTTTCTAGAAACAGTCTACGACAGGTAATGTTCAAGGGCTTACAGATACTACAAAATATACGGGATCGCACAAGCTTCGTTTTGACGAGACGGGTAAAGGGCGTGGCAAGGAGGGCCGCTCAGATGAGGGTAAGAAATCGGGATATGTGGCAAGCTATAAAGGTGAAGGGACCTTTGAGAAGGACGGAAAGGAGTGAATTTCAAACGTTACTTTCATTTCTAAATGTAGATGATATTGCTACTAATTAAAGTGTGTTATTCAATCAAAATTCAGTCATAGTTATGTAGGATATAAAGTAATAAAAATAAAATTCGTATTGAAAACGTGCATCTTCATTTTCCCTACAAGATCAGTGAAGATTGTGTAATTGTTTTAAGATAACTACGTAAACGACGAAGTATAAACAGCTTTTTCGTCCATTTAAAAGGCAGTTATATGTATGAAAGAATTTATTTATTAGTTGATTTTACAATGCAGTAAGAAAAGTCTGTAATGAGGATAATTATAAAGTTATTGTTTTTCCTGGATCATTTTAAACATGCATGGCTGTATTAAGTTACTTTACTGATGTCATTTAAACTTTACTGGCATAAACATACGTGTATATATACTTCCTTATGAGACAAAAACAGTATATGAACAAAGAAAAAAATAAATTAAAGAGACCCATCGTAAGTTTATTGTACATTTAGTGAATCTTGCCACCACGTACTGCATTGACTCAGCAGTCAGTGCCGGGTAAGACGGGAGGTTAAAGCTGCACTTTTTCGTGGGATCGGTCGGGTTTGAAATACCAGTATCTTGTACAAAAGCCAAAGGTAAACGCATTAAATTGTCGTCTGCAAACTTTCTCAGGACTTTTATTGTATATGTAAATGTTAAACCTGTGCAAGATGTTAGCGCATCATAGATTTTATGTCAGATAAATTGTTCTGTTAATGTTTTCTTATATGTAACAGATGTGCTACAATGTAAGGAGTTTATGTTAAAAAATACAAAGTAGAAGCGTTAGTCAGAACCTTTGTCAAGGCCAATTGTTCGAAAGGGAGATAAGTCATGTCAGTAATTATCTAATTGGTGTTAAAGAAGGGAAGCAACTCGGATAACTTCTGCCAACAGGCTTCGCTACGGCAAAAAAATGCCTTTTGAAAAAAAATCTTAACAGTTGCATTTCTGGACGTAGGGTAATCTCCTACTTAAAATTAGTTATATAAAATATTTACACAAACGTTATAAAGGTCAAAGGGTTATGGTCATCTAACTTTTTTTGGGGTGCAGTGCGATTTCATATGTTTTAAACAATATATAACTTTTCATTTTTATATATTTACTTCATAACTTTTATATAAGTGTATTTAATGTAAATTGACCTGTTTTATCAACTAGAAGTGTACTGCTTTAATTTTATTCAGCTATTTACAGAATATGTAAAAGGGTTGCATTATATATTATTCATTAACCTTCATTTAAATAATTAATTGCTAATTAATTCTTTATTTGATATATGTAATTACGCGTTTTAGCCATTTCACATTTGTTGTTATGTATTTCTATGTACATGTATTTATAAATAAGTATTAGATGTATAACAATATAAGTGTGTTGTTTTCATTTCTGGATAACGTTTTGCATAACTGGAGATGTTCATGAAATCACAGGAACCCGAAATTCTACCCAAAAAAAGAAAAAAAAAGATTAAAAACATGTTTTTTTATAGTATACAAATATATGGGATTTTTTTTAAAATCGTTAGAATTTCAGGTTCCTGTGATGATAATAAACATGCATACCAGGGCAAAGAGACGCTGTAACCTTGACCTACTGGCAGACAACATTCACTCATGCTATAAATTATTGGGTTAAGTGCTTTCTCCAAGAATCCTTTTCAATGTCAAGGTCAGATTTAACCTTGACATTTGCTTTTAACCCAAAAATGAAAGGGGTCATTAGCTTACAGTAAGGAAGTTTGTACCCCAATCCCGCCCCTTCTTGAATTACTGAAAGCAAATTCAATTTTGCAAGTATTTTGACCTTGACTTTTGACCTGTGTCATTCAAATATACAGGTAATTTTCATATAGTTTGACATCTGTACATTAAATAGTCTCTTAACATTAATTTTTGTGCTTTAAATAATGTACAGAGGGGCACCCAAGTCTTTCTCTACCAGTAATAGCTAGAAAGTTGTCACTATACTTTGTTGGTGTTGACATAAAACCCAACCAAAAATAAACAGAATAAAAGTCTTTTAATTACTGAGTGGAAAGAAAGGTGTAAAATTTGTTATACCAGAATTAGGATACAAGAACAATGGTATATTGTTTTATTAAAGATCAAGAATTCCTAACATAACTTTACTGTCTGTAAAATAATAAGCATGATGAAGAATCTGTATTAAAGGGACACAATTCAAGTCAGTTCCCTATTACCTTAAGATTTTTCTCCCTTTCTGGGTAACACTAACATAAGTAAAAACATTGTTCTTTTTATTTTTTTTTATTATAAATGATAACAGTAACTTGGAGATTACATATAAGCATATGGCATCAAAGTCAAATACACAAAGGTGATAAAGTGAGTAATTGCACAATGATGTAAACATAATAATTATATCGATAATATTTTGATTTTTTTTTTACCAGATCACAATGACAGCTAAGGCATTTCAAAACATTTGTTACAAATCATCTGATCGGCTGAATGGCTCTCTAAATTCAAAACTGACCAATGGCAGAATGATATTTTAGTGAATGCTTTCTGGCATTTTTTTCATGAATGGCAGAGACTTTTTTTTACATAAGGCTCCATGATTATGGGCAATGATAAATATATATAATTGTTTTAAAATTGTATGAGTTTTGATACATTTTGCAACTATTACATTATTATATTATCAAAAATAACGAAACAGTAAAACATTGTACAATGTATATATCACAGATAAACATTTAAAGGAATGAATAATAAACATGAATTTCTTCACAAACAACTGTTTGTGTCTCTCCACATATTGTTTACATCGTTTCCATACATGTATTAAAACAACTTCTCCACTTGCTAGTTATAAACCATGCCCTTGAAACAAGCTAACTTATCTAAATATTAAAGCTAATTTTGTCTCAAAAAGACTTAACTTGGAAGCAAAATTTTTCACCATTTTTTCTCTCTTAAATAAGGCTATTCTTTTCTCAAAAAGAGGATTTCCCTTACCTCAGTAAAATCTCTTTTTATCTTACATATATTACATGTACTTATCATTTTCTGCCCAACGTTTCAACTTTTCCTTCAATTGTAACACAACTTGTTTCCAAAATCAGTTATTAACAATGTCAATCAAGACATTGCAAGCCTTGCAATTACAACAGTAAAAATATATATTTCAATATGCAATAAAAACTATTAATATTATAACTCGATCTTAACCTGCTTTCAGCAACATATTCTACTTAATGTGACCACTGCAGACCAAGACAAACCAACACTTTCTAGGCCTTCTGATCATGGTTGGCAGGGCTCTCTTTTAATTGAGTATATAGTTTGAAATTTTCCCTTAAAAATATAAATGGTAAAGTCCATATTGAAAGATGGACAAGTCCATATACAATATTTAGAGGGTGATGAAAGCAAATGAGTGTACATGGTCCACAGTGTTCTCTTTTTATTGTTTTGAAATTTTCCCTTCAAAATATAAATGGTTAAGTCCAGATTGAAAGATGGACAAGTCCATTTACAATATATAGGGGGTAATGTAAACAAATGAGTGTATGCTGAAACAACATCAACACAAAAACAAGAGGGCCATGATGGCCTGGCCCTGAGGTCGCTCACCTGTATATAGGCCCCCAGAGCAGGGCCAGTTTAAACCCCAGGGCTTTTATTTGAACAAACTTGGAAGACACACATTAGAAGATGTTTCACAATGTTAAGCTTTTACTACACACATGTAATGAAAAACAATGATCTCATCCCCCTGTCACCCCCCCCCCCCCCCCCCCCCGGCAGGGCCAATTTTCACCCAAGGGCTTTTATTTGAACAAACTTGGTAGTCATCCATAAGAAGATATTTCATGCTAAACATCTAAGCTCTAGTTCATTGGGTTTTTTAAAAGAAGATTTTGTAAGTTTTTACTACACACATATAGTTAAAAACAGTGACACCCCTGGGGCGGGGCCAGTTTTGACCCCGGGGCTTTTATTTGAACAAACTTTGTAGACACTTATTAGAAGATGTTTCAAGCTTAATATCTTACTCTAGCTATTTGGGTTTTTTCAAAGAAGACTTTTTAAGTTTTTACTATATGCATATATAGGGAAAATCAAGACCCCCGGGGCGGGGCCAATTTTGACCACAGGACTATTATTTGAACAAACTTTGTAGACACTCACTAGAAGATGTTTCATGCTTAATATCTAAACTCTAGCTATTTGGGTTTTTTCAAAGAAGATTATTTAAGTTTTTGCTATACACATATAAGGAAAATCAATGACCCCCTGGGCGGGGCCATTTTTGACCCCAGGGCTTTTATTTGAACAAACTATGTAGACACACATTAGAAGATGTTTCCTGCTGAATATCTTAGCTCTAGCTCTTTGAGTTCTTTCAAAGAAGACTTTGTAAGTTTTTACTATATGCATATAGGGAAAATCAATGACCCCCTGGGGCGGGGCCAATTTTGACCCCAGGGCTTTTATTTGAACAAACTTGGTACACACTCATTAGAAGATGTTTCATGCTGAATATCTTAGCTCTAGCTCTTTGGGTTCTTTAAAAGAAGAATTTTTAAGTTTTTACTATATGCATATAGGGAAAATCAATGACCCCCTGGGGCGGGGCCAATTTTGACCCCAGGGCTTTTATTTGAACAAACTTGGTACACACTCATTAGAAAATGTTTCATGCTGAATATCTTAGCTCTAGCTCTTTGGGTTCTTTAAAAGAAGATTTTTTAAGTTTTTACTATATGCATTTAGGGAAAATCAATGACCCCCTGGGGCGGGGCCAATTTTGACCCCAGGGCTTTTATTTGAACAAACTTGGTACACACTCATTAGAAAATGTTTCATGCTGAATATCTTAGCTCTAGCTCTTTGGGTTCTTTAAAAGAAGAATTTTTAAGTTTTTACTATATGCATATAGGGAAAATCAATGACCCCCTGGGGCGGGCCAATTTTGACCCCAGGGCTTATATTTGAACAATCTTGGTACACACTCATTAGAAGATGTTTCATGCTGAATATCTTAGCTCTAGCTCTTTGGGTTCTTTAAAAGAAGAATTTTTAAGTTTTTACTATATGCATATAGGGAAAATCAATGACCCCCTGGGGCGGGGCCAATTTTGACCCCAGGGATTTTTTTTGAACAAACTTGGTAGACACTCACTAGAAGATGTTCCATGCCAAATATCTAAGCTCTAGCTCTTAGGGTTTTTTAAAAGAAGATATTTAAAGTTTTTTCTTTCGGTTGCCATGGCAACCAGAGTTCTGCATGGAATTAAATTCTTTGAACAATTTTTAAAGGTGACCACCAAAGGAACATTCCTGTGAAGTTTGGATGAAATTGGCTTAGTGGTTTATGAGGAGATGTCATTTAAAGTAAAAGTTTACGGACGGACGGACGGACGACGGACGGACGCCGGACGAAAAGCGATCACAAAAGCTCACCCTGTCACTTTGTGACAGGTGAGCTAAAAAATTCTATATACAGTATGTACATACATTGCATTAAAGTGAACAAAGTAAATATTTCATTTAAATCTCATTAAAAATAAATCAATAAAACCCGTGGTGGTCATGTTTATACTGAAAACAATAACTTCATTTCTATAGAGATGAAATAAAAACTAGAAATTATTTATAAAACTAAAAAGGAATAATAAAATTTCAAAATTTCTGTTACAATCTCATTTCGAACATATTATTTCTTTAACAAATTCACACAAAATTCAATAATTACAGAAAATGATAATACATAAAACATGTTAAACAATAAATACTGCTTTGAATAAAGGAAAATTAACACTCTATAATGAAAATATATATAAAACTACATGTATATTGCTCACTATTCCACAAAAGCATCAGTCATTGTATGTCCATCCCATAAAAATACTTGGAACATGTTTGTATCTAAAATGGATCTCAAATTGTTTTTCATCATTTAAAAATCACATATACAAACAATGAAATGTGATACATCTTAAAATGTATAAAAAGTAATTAGTTGCCACCAATGTAAACAATGTTAAAATCAACAACAGTAACAAATGAGCCGCGGGATGACAAAACCAACATAATGTGTTTGCGACCAGCATGGATCCAGACCAGCCTGCGCATCCGCGCAGTCTGATCAGGATCCATGCTGTTCGCTTACAACTCTATAACAAGTAGAGAAAGAGAAACTGATCAGACTGTGCGGATGCACAGGCTGGTCTGGATCCATGCTGGTCGCAAACCCATTATGTTGGTTTTGTCATGACGCAGCTCATATGAGTATCATACAAAGCATATACAGTTACACCTCTGCAGAACAAAAACTTTTCCCATGCAAAGACTTTGGCTTTTCTATAGAGAATTGTATTAGCTATTAAAAAGTCTTTCTCCGGTAAATTTTTTGTAAAGAGGTAGTTGCTTTGCTGAGGTTGCACTATACATGAATAGAAACGATGGTCAATATAATGCTTTTATAATTAAGACAGTGCAAAGTCCTTTTTTTTTTCATAAAGACACTTAAATTTTGTTTTCTATAAAAATAATCTACAACAATTTTTCTTTTATTTTTTTTCTGTATTTTTAAGCCACACAAACACTGTAACTCAGTGTTCCACTTACAAGTTTTACTGCTATGGATAAGTTCTCATGTGCAGTATATTACAAATATGACAAGAAATCTGCGAAGAACAACCTAACTTCCATAACCTGGCTGGGTATCTTCCTCACATGAAAAAATTTAAGTCCATGGCAAGAATTACGAAAAAAAAGAAAAAAAGAAGATAAAAAGAAACTGGTAAAAAGCGAGTGTTTCTAGCATGCACCCTATACATTACAAATCAATATTTTTCTAAAAATAACTTGTTGTAAAACTATGTGTCGTTTTAAAAGCAATACATCTAAAAAAAACACCGTCTATCATCATCTGACTCAACCTATATCTTCACAGTGAAATATATACAATATCTGATGGAAATGAATGATATAATCTCTTCCCATGATATAAATGTAATACCATCTATAAATCTCAAGATATCATTTTGCAGTGCGATATTTTACACCCTTTTTCAAGTTTTATTGACACATCCACTGGCCTGAATTTTTATTCTTTTCAGCTGTAGATATTCTCTCATGCTATGTTCTCCATAGTTCCGTACCCTTTACTATTTTCCGAACTCCGTCTCTCAATTATTTTGTCATTATCTGGGCTACTAAAAATGGTCCTAAACACGTCCTTGACATTTGTTAAAAACCATCCGTCATTGGTTGTCCGTTGTATACTACTGTGGAACTGAAAATCTGCAGCTTCTATATGGGTACCTCTTCGTCTGCGGAGGTTAACGTAATAAACTCCACCTATTACAAGAAGGGAGACAACCACTAATGCTGAAATAACTGGAACCAAAACATACGCAGCTGAGTGACTGCTGGGCGGCACTGGAACTGAAAAAGAATGGAAATGGTAATACATTTTGATAAAAAATGTGCCTAGTCCAAAACTCGAACTTTAATGTTGTATATAATCCTAAAAACTTTCGTTGCTCAAATGAAAAAATAAAAGTGACATTATGCTAATCCAAGTGTAAATGGTGAATGTACTGGAAAAGGACATTATAACTTTAAATTTTGTCATAATTGTTTTTAATTCATTATTTTGTTTTACATAATCAATCAATAACTCTCATGACCCACAGGAATTCCTGTAAATAACCTTCGGAAATGTTCATTTAATAAAAGAGTGAGGCCGACTTTTTTAATTTTAAGGCAGTTTTTATATTTTATTCTAATTATTTGTCATTATCAAATACTAGTAAATCGCCATTTTAACAGTCAATCTTTTATAAATGCTCAACTTGACAACGGTAAAATTATGATATTATTATGATAATGTAATTACAATAATTAGTTCAAAATACCTTCTCTAAAAGTCACATTATTGTTTTCCATTCCTTTATATTCCTTTTCACTCGTTTATTTATAATTCTATTCTAAATTCAAATATATCTTTTCCTTTTTATATAGTAACAGGGTCATTATTTATCTAAACATCAAATTTGACAACTATTTCCTGATTGAATTGTCTAATTCATAACAATATGTGTGAACACTGATGTAATTGGATAAAAGTTATAAACTAATTGGCACTTGACATAAGAGGGTCCAGTCATCACATTGAGGTTGAAAATGTAGTCATTTGATATGTTCTAGATTACAGTAAGTGAATTACTGAAGTAACTAAATTGACTTCATCATTAAGGTATGACACTACTGCAATGAATCTGTGGAACAATATATTAATAACTGTTTTCAGAAAGTTGTTTCAAACTCTTTGGGGAAAAATCAAATTTTCCCAATATTTTGAAATCTATTTCAATTTTTCACATGAGAGTAATTTTGAATATGCACGACAAAAATCTGACTCATTCGTGAATAATTTGTACATATGATTGCTAAAATCAATATGCGGCTGAAGTCAGCAGTTTGTTTGTTTGGTTTTATGGCACACCCATTATAGATAAGGTCATATGGCCGAAACAGGAAAGATGATTTTGACAAACTTAGTGCAACAACAATGCTCAAAACCACTTTACCTGCTAGAGGAAAATTTCGATAAAAGAACCTGCTGACTAAATAGCTTTCAGAACAGACCAAGATCAGATGGCACCGATATGCCGGCTGATTTAGGTCTGTACTGGTTCCATTAGTACCTTCCATAGTCGCCAACAAGCTTAGTGTTTAAAGAAACAAAACTGATACACATACCATTATTTACAGAAACATCATGATTCTTTGACACTACACTGACATCATTCTCGACGTAGACAGAGAGGAAGTACTTCCCTGTTATTGAAAACTTTCTTTTAGGTACTGTTATCTTAAATATTGACTTGTCTGTCTCGTTATAACATTCCCTTTCAAGCTCCTTACTGTGATGTGCCAGCTTCAGTTTCCAACAGAACGTGTATGGTGGACTGTGAAAATATAAAAAAAAAAGTCTTTACAATAAAACAATTAATTGCTCTTCATAAGAAAGCTAAACTTTGTATCGCAAGACCATAAATATAGTTCAAATTTTTACAGCAAAAATGAAATCACGCAAAAGCCGCATTGGCTTTAAATGACTGGTACATTCTTATCTTCAAAATGTTAAACAAAAATTGATTAAAGATAATTCTAACAAGCTTCACGCCATTCCCCTACCAAACACATGGGGTAAAGTGCATTATTATGCAAGATATGCACAGCATAAAAAAAGAATGCTAACATGCCATATGACATCAGATATGACATCAATAAACCAAATGATGACAAGAATATATAACTTCTATGCTCAATGTAGTTCAACATATTTGTATCAATTCTCATTTTTTTTAAATTAGCATGTTAGAATGGAAATAGATATTATTATTCATGCATTTAAGTATAATATTGCACAGTTTATTGTTCAAATGCTTTTTAATTAATCACTCAGGCCTAACGACCTTTGTGATTACATTCCTATGCATTTGAACTCGAACGCACTCAAAATTTTGAAATTTATTACCTAAACAATCTTTTAACTTTTAATTTATGTATCTGAGCACATTACAGACCCCAGATTTGAACATTTTATTAGCTGAAAGAATAAAGCAATGTTAGCTTACACATCCATGCCATATGACCCCGCTCTATACTGCAAGTTGCTCAATTTCAGCATTTTGATAAATTTAAGCTGCATGCCTCCAGAGAAGCCAAAATATTTCAAGAGAAAAATTTACTATGATTTTATGAAAAGTAAAAATATTCACAATTCAAGGAACTATTTACATCTACATGTTATATGCAATTAATGACTGATTTTGAAGTGTTTTTTCACCATATTTCTACTAGATGACTACCAAAGTAATGGTTATTTTTGCATATTCTGGATGATTTTTGGTGATTTTTATAGATTATAAATGCTGTTTGCAATGTGAAAATTTCTGTCTTTTCTTTGTTCAGTTGACAATAATTTACTTTTTAATATACTTTAGTAAAAATTAGCATGAAACTGGAGGCATACTGTATTAACAATGGATTTTGTTCCGATTTCAAAGCAGGGGCCAAATTTATTATACAAAAACTTTTGCAGGGTTAGGAATTTGAAATTGGGGGTTAACTTGCCCTTGAAACTAACATTTTAGTTTAAAACTTTCAATTTTTTGTTATTAAAATTTGTCTTTTCCCTTCCCAGTTTGGGGGAAACTCCCCGCCAGGATCTGGGGAAAAAAATAAAAATTAAAAACCACAATATGAGGGATTTTTTGCCACATAGTATTTCAATGGGTGATATAATTTAAAAAACCCCCCCCCCCCCCCCCACTTAAACCCCCTTAATTTATTTCCCATGTACTTTAATTTAAAAAAAATATGTTTTCAAACAAAAGGGAAAAAGACAAAAAATTTTCTGTAAATCATGGGCTAAATATAGTTGATAAATTTTTTTTAAAAAGGGATCATGTTTTAAAATTTTTGGCACATAATAAAAATCTTTGCCTCTTGGGGAAAAATTTTTGACCCCAAAAAAAAAGCATTTTTAAAAGACTTTAAAAAACCCCATATGAAATATTTTGGGCAACCAAATACAAAATGTTTGGTTAGGTTTGGTTTTACAGACTTTCAAACAAAAAAGGGTATCGTTTGGGAATTTGTTGCCATTATCCCCCAAATTTTAAAAAAAGTCCCCTTAAAAAGTGATCAACCCCCCCAAAGGGTTTTTCGGTAAAAAAAAAAACAATTTTCAATTGATTACATCATTTCCATGTACTTTTAAAAAAAACAGGAAATCACTGAATTAAAGAAACATAAAATGACTGAGTCTTTAACTTTCCTTAAAGTCACTAACAATTGAACAAATAAATTTTTTCCCACATATTGTTATAAAAATATTCATTCTATAGCTGGCCTGTAACATCCCATTTACTTTCATGAAAATTCATTTCAATAGTTGAATAACTATTTTATTAGACATAATAAAAGTAGGGCAACGTTGGTTTTATCTTAAGCTGCAGAAATCAAAAGTGATTAGCTTTTGCCACCAGTATAGAGCCATGGGCCAGCCTATACATCCATTCAGTCTGACCACACTCTATACTGTTTGTAGCTCTAGCGTTTTATTTTGGTAATGAAATCCCAAAACTTCGAATGGACTGTTCCCAAATTCAAAGCAGGTAAATCCATTAAAACAAATAATTGAAATTCCACAGTGTGACCAGGTTCTATACCGTTGGTAGCTGAACATATGAATTTTGATACTGAAATCGCTTAAAACTTTGCATGGACTGTAAATTTTGACTGGAATCATAATCTTAAATGGATTTAACTCAATACAGGATTGTACGCTTGCAGAAATCATGATCACAAAATAGACAAATATCGTTTTTTTTGCTGATTATTACATTTTTCATTCACTATCATACATAAATCGGTGTGAAAAGATGAATTTAGACTGTTTAAAGTTCATTCTGTAAGGTTAAAAGTCTTTGTTTTTTAGCCCTTTAAAAAAAATTTTAAGGGGTCTTTGTTTTTAAAGGGAAAGTACCGGAATAACCGGGGATTAAGGGGGTGTTTCTCCAAAAACCTTTTTTTTGTCTTTACTTTTCCCTTAAAATTTGCAATTTTTGTTAAAATTTCACTTGTTTCAAATGAAAAATTGGGAAATCCTTACATTTACATCTCTTTTAGTTTAAACACTTTAATCTTATCTTGTGAAAATAGCTATTAAAACAATGCACACATTGTTTACTTACCTAACTTAAGGATTGGTCAAACTGTAATAAACAGATTTTATTGGCCTAACTAAGGGTATGGGTATATGTTTTATTGACATTTTTTTTATTATTGACATTAATAATTTCCCTATGGCATCAGTAAATAGCCATGCCGGCCTGAACATCTGTGCAGTTTGACCTGACACAGCTGGCTGCTAAAATTTAAGCATTTTGATGTCTGACAGTGCTAAATTAATTATACATTTTAATTTAACATGGAAACAGCTATAGCACGGTTATTAATATAACGAGGCACATTTTTAAGCATGTGTTGAAATTATTGACCCAATTCCCTGATACAATATAAACAAAGCTATCAAGGTTAAAGGGCACTTGATTGTTTAATGTGATCTCTGATAATAACCATATCATATAGTAAATACAATGTTCCTGTATTTATACTAGTATATAACATACCAATATGTAACAGGCTAGATCTATATCTTCCCATATCACACTGGTTGAAAGCTGTTACATTGTTTTCTTAATGATAAACTCGTACAAATCAATTATAAACATAACAATAATAATAAGGCCACTTAAACTTCCTAGGCATGACCAAAATGAGCATGCACTTGTGTATAGGATATTGAATGAGTGTAAGTTCAAAACTGAATTTATTGCATGAGTTGAATAAAATTATAGTATATATTATACTAAAAATTTAAAAATTTTGTCAACGAAGTTCAATAAAATTCGTAATGAAAATTACACAAATTTTTAAAATTTTTATTTATTTAATTTCCCCAAAAAAAAAAAGACGTTTAAGTGAAAAAAGGGGTCATTTTTTATTTTTTCGCGCCCATAGTAAAAGCTAACAATTAGCCGCGTCTTTTTTACTATGTTTTTATAGCTCTAAATTTACTACATAAAAAAATTAAAGAACGGCCTGCAAAAACCCCTTTTTACAGGGTCCCCAAAAAAGGGGGCAGGTTTTGTGATAAAAATTATATTTTAATATATTTTGGGAAGACAAGGGTTTGGGATTTTTTTTATTTCCCCCACGAAGGGAAAATCAACAAGTTAATTATTCAGAATTACCCCATTTTGTTTAGATTTTTTGGGGAAACCATTTTAAATTTATTTTTTTCCATATGAAAATTTAAATTTAAACATCACAAAATAATTCATAATCGTCTTTATAAATATATTAACCCTGGTCTTTAAAGGACATTTTATCAAAAAAAAATTGTCCCTTTTTTGAAAGGGAAAAAAATAAAAAAAAAATAAATACCCCATAAAAACACGTTTAATTTTAAAAAAAAAACGAAGGTTTAAAATAAGTTTTTTTTCTACATATTAACATGGAAACCCTTTTTATCTTGTAAAGGCCCAAATTTTTGGGTTTGTAAAACCCGACTTTTACAATGGGGCACTATAAACTATTTAAAATTTTGATACTATTTAACCCCATTAAATGGGCAAAACAAATTGCCCGGGGCAGTACTTTTTTCAAATTTTCAGGTTTAACAGGGTTAAAAAGTTTTTTTTGTTGAAAAAAATTTAAAGTTAAAAAAAAAGCAAAAACGCCAAAACTATTGCTTTTAGAATTATGCCTCTTGTCTAACAGCTGCACCTAGTCATGATAAGCAAGAATTCCAAATTTCATATTGATAACTTTTAAAATGTTTGAATTATGAGCTTCATTAATATTTTTGAATGACCACAACATCCATGTTGCTGCAGCTATCATAATAGCCTGATTTAACCTTTGAAACATACAATGTAAAAATGAACAAAAATCAGAGGAGTTCATATAATCTGTAACATACAATCTTAACAAACCTCGTAAGTAATCCTAGTTCAAAGAAGAAAGAAAAAAATCTATCTTTCAAAAGGTATGCCAATTACATTTCAATAGGACCAGTAGGCTGGGTTTGTTAATTTACAAATGAAATACAAATCCAAACAGTCTAATGTTCTCCAATTCAAAGGTCACATCAACTTGAATAGAAACATATTCTTAAAAATTGTAAAAAAATCTTTTTATATTAAAAATCAGGTCAAAATTCATTGATTTTGATGAAACTTCGCTGTAGTTGTATAATAATCATTGTTCTGAAGTAGATTACAAAAATCTGGAAACAAAGTGATCCCTCGGAAGCAGTAATCGCAACAAAATTACATAAGAATTGCAGAATTGGTTTGATTGAGTCTGTACATGAGGGATAATGAACAAGTGCCCCTTTTTTTCTGAGATCATTCTCGAATCTCAAGATTTTCATTGGTCAATATACATTCTATGCTGGTTTTTGACCAATCAAACGCCTGAGATCTGAGTTTGAGCACAGGAAAATTCTTTATAACCTTGGACCTTAAGACAATGTGGCCATACTGATAAGATATACAGCAAATATCATATTTAGAATATAATTAAAGCAAAATTTGATAAAAACAGGACGCAGGTTTTCAAACAGATCCAACTAATTGATCAGTATTCCTGTTGCATTACATAAGAAAGAAGACACAGAAAAAATTATCTTTTAAATACTACGTTAATGAATAAATATACCTTTTAAAATAATCTCCGTCTTAAACGAGCCCTTCAAACTATCTAAATACTCATCACCTCTACAGTCAACCGGAATTCCGGTAGAAACTACATCAAGTCTGACGACGTGTTTTCCAGTTTTTTCAAACGTTAAACTTATATTGTTAACATTACTGGCTGCGTATTCTTCACCATCTTTTAACCATTTGTACGTAAACGTAGGCGGTAATATGAAAATGTCCGTGAGATTTGCCGTGAAATGCACCGGTTTGCCAGTGGAAAATGTGTTGTTCGATGCACGTAGACCTCGATGTACTGTCTGATTATGCTTTAAATTCCCGTTTAATGTTGCTGTAAAAAATACGATATGGAAATAAATAGGATATACAAAGACTATAAAATGTTCTTAAAAATAAAATTATTATATAGGGAATTACAAAAATGAAAAATTAGCAAAAAGAGCTCATCAATATTAGTTGAAAAAGAAAAACAAAGCAGAAAACCTTAAACTCACAAAAATAATCATCATTAATCTGAAATAATGTCAAAGTATACATACATTAAAAATATGCAAACAAAAAACTTGCATTTTTTACTGCTTGATGTTTAAATTAACAACTTTTAAGTCTAATATCATGACATACATGTAATTTCATGTATGTGCTTTTGAGGAGGGAAATAAAATTAAAAAAAAACAAACAAAACAAGCAATTATCATAGTATTGCAAGCAATCCATAAGTCCCCTACCGGATAGAACCCCATCAGCATTCTGAAGGGCCATTGGCCATTCACTAATGTGTAAATTTTTCTCTATTTTAAGTAAATTTGTTGGAAATGTTCTTTAAAAGTGATCACAGGAAAAAGTTTTTATGAACAGACAGACAAACGGACTGAAGGACACTCTAAAGTTAATATTTGAAACATCCCTGTTACCAAAATATAACATTTTAAAAAGCAAAATTCTTAAAGAGGAGATAACTCTGGAATTAAAGATGCAATTTCATAAAAAGTTTCAGCTCTTTTTGACTAATCACAAATATTGTTATATTTGCCATGTTTTAAGCCTATTTGTTGCCAAGGCAACCAATATTTTTTCAAAATAGGAAGAACAGATAAGACATGCATAATCTCAAGACTGCCATCTACCCATATGTCAAGTTTCATAAAAATATTTCCAGTACTTTTTGAGTTATCACTGGATTCAGTTTATGTGTAAAATTTGCCATATTTTCAGTCTATGTGTTGCCATAGCAACCAGAATTTCAACATAGGAAGAAAAGAAAAAGACGTGCATAATCTCCAGACTGCCATCTACACATATTACAAGTTTCATAAAAATATTTCTATTACTTTTTGCGTTAACACTGGATCCAGTTTATGTGTAAAAATTGCCATATTTTCAGTCTATTTGTTGCCATAGCAACCAGAATTTTCAACATAGGAAGAAAAGAAAAAGACGTGCATTATCTCCATACTGCCATCTATCCATATATCAAGTTTCATAAAAATATTTCCAGTACTTTTTGCGTTATCACTGGATCCAGTTTATGTGTAAAATTTGCCATATTTTCAGCCTATTTGTTGCCATAGCAACCAGAATTTTCAACATAGGAAGAAAAGAAAAAGACGTGCATAATCTCCATACTGCCATCTATCCATATATCAAGTTTCATAAAAATATTTTCAGTACTTTTCAAGTTATCGCGGGATCCAGTTTTGTGGACGGACGGACTGACAGACAGACGGACGGACAGACGGACGGAGGGTAAACCTAAAGTCCCCTCCGGTAAACCGGTAGGGGACTAAAAAACAAACAAGAGGGCCATGATGGCCCTGAGGTCGCTCACCTGTATATAGGCCCCCCCAACCCCCACCCCCCCAACATTGCAGGGCCAATTTAACCCAAGGGCTTTTATTTGCACAAACTTGGTAGACACTATATAAGAAGATGTTTCATGCTAAACATCTAAGCTCTAGCTCATTGGGCTTTTTAAAAGAAGATTTTTTAAAGTTTTTACTATACACATATAGTTAAAAACAATGACACCCCTGGGGCCGGGCAGGGCTTTTATTTGAACAAACTTTGTAGACACTTACTAGAAGATGTTTCATGCTTAATATCTAAACTCTAGCTATTTGGGTTTTTTCAAAGAAGATTTTAAGTTTTTGCCATACACATATAAAGAAAATCAATGACCCCCGGGGCGGGGCCAATTTTGACCCCAGGTCTTTTATTTGAACAAACTTTGTAGACACTCACTAAAAGATGTTTCATGCTTAATATCTTAACTCTAGCTATTTGGGTTTTTTCAAAGAAGATTTTTTAAGTTTTTGCTATACACATATAAGGAAAATCAATGACCCCCGGGCAGTGCCAATTTTGACCCCAGGGCTTTTATTTGAACAAACTTGGTAGACACCTATTAGAACATGTTTGATGCTAAATATCTTAGCTCTAGCTCTTTGAGTTCTTTAAAAGAAGATTTTTTAAGTTTTTACTATATGCATATAGGGAAAATCAATGACCCCCCGGAGCGCGGCCAATTTTGACCCCAGGGCTTTTATTTGAACAAACTTGGTAGACACTTATTAGAACATGTTTCATGCTTAATATCTTAGCTCTAACTCTTTTGGTTCTTTAAAAGAAGATTCTTTAAGTTTTTACTATATGCATATAGGGAAAATCAATGACCCCTTGGGGCGGGGCCAATTTTGACCCCAGGGCTTTTATTTGAACAAACTTGGTAGACACCTATTAGAACATGTTTGATGCTCAATATCTTAGCTCTACTGGCATGCGAGCAGTTCCCGTACAGAAGCAGTACCCGTATTTTTCGTTTAAACGCTTAATTTTTACTTACATTCTTCAACAAGAACTGTCGGAGGACAGTAAAGCTAGACTATTCGAAAATTTGTCACAAGGGTGTTTCATTGAGTATAATATTGCTTACCTATATGAATACATAAAATTGTTCGAAAAGGTACAAACTCTTCAAGTTTCAATACATTCCCTTCAGTAGTTATGGAGATACAAGTTTACATACAAAAACTTAACCAAGATTTTCTAAGTCGAAAAAGGGGCATAATTATGAAATAAAACAATTCAGAGTTATGGGACTTGTACCAATCACCTTAGATAATCACAGAGACCAAGTGTGTGAAGTTTCAATCCATTCCCTTCAGTAGTTATGGAGATACCAGCTTACACGCAAAAACTTAACCAAAAATTTCCAAGTCGAAAAAGGGGCATAATTATGTTAAAAAGCAAATCCGAGTTATGGGACTTGTGCTAATCATCTAAGATAATCAGAGAGAACAAGTGTGTGAAGTTTCAATCCATTACCTTCAGTAGTTATGGAGATACCAGCTTACATGCAAAAACTTAACCAAGAATTTCTAAGTCAAAAAAGGGGCATAATTATGTTAAAAAGCAAATCAGAGTTATGGGACTTGTGCCAATCATCTTAGATAATCACAGAGAACAAGTGTGTGAAGTTTCAATCCATTCCCTTCAGTAGTTATGGAGATACCAGCTTACACGCAAAAACTTAACCAAGAATTACTAAGTCGAAAAAGAGGCATAGTTATGTAAAAAAGCAAATCAGAGTTATGGTACTTGTGCCAATTGTCTTAGATAAACACAGAGAACAAGTGTGTGAAGTTTCAATCAATTCCCTTCAGTAGTTATGGAGATAACAGCTTACATACACAAACTTAACTAAGAATTTCTAAGTCGAAAAAGGGGCATAATTATGAAAAAAAGCAAACCAGAGTTATGGGACTTGTGCCAATCATCTTAGATAATCACAGAGAACAAGTGTGTGAAGTTTCAATCCATTCCCTTCAGTAGTTATGGAGATACCAGCTTACATACAAAAACTTAACCAAGAATTTCTAAGTCGAAAAAGGGGCATAATTATGAAAAAAAAGCAAATCAGAGTTATGGACTTGTGCCAATCATCTTAGATAATCACAGAAAACAAGTGTGTGAAGTTTCAATCCATTCCCTTCAGTAGTTATGGAGATACAGCTTACATACAAAAAACTTAACCAAGATTTTCTAAGTCGAAAAAGGGGCATAATTATGAAATAAAACAATTCAGAGTTATGGGACTTGTGCCAATCATCTTAGATAATCACAGAGAACAAGTGTGTGAAGTTTCAATCCATTCCCTTCAGTAGTTATGGAGATACCAGCTTACATTCAAAAACTTAACCACAGGGACGCCGACGCCGACAAATGGGTGACTGCATTAGCTCGATTATTCTGCGAATAGTCGAGCTAAAAATTGATATCAAATCAAGCAGATGTATGAACGAGATAGAATCTAAGTGTCAGTTCTGCAGTACATATTAAAAGTATCATTTTAAATCACTTTCATTTCTGCGTTGTCAAAACGTGACCTTGTTTACTTTGGGGGATTCCGTCTTTGCGCGCATGCGCAACAAAACTTACATGTGAGGCCTGTTAAAGGGTTTTCCACTAATACCACCTGTGTACAGATAAGTAGGCAATGTGATGAAAACTTGATTTATAATCAGAATTTTGACCTATATTACTATATTAAATAATTTTATGGCTTTAATGTGTAAAATATCATGCATACAAGCAAGTTATTGCATGTGAATGCGTTGGGGTAACGGTACGGGTAATAGATACTGTCAGCGTTAAGCCTACGTTCTATTTCCTAAATTACATCTATTTACCTCTGGATAAATGGCCTGTTTAACAAATATAAATGAACAATAGGTCCGATATAACAAAATTGTATAATTATAATGGGTTGTATTTCATGTACGGGAACTACTTCTCTTCATACAAAATAATGGATAATTTGGGTACCCCATATGAGGCCTCATAACTAAGGGTTATTCTATGTTTAAAACATGATGGAATTTCCACGATTTGTGTGACGAGCCGAATATTAATGTGTAACATTCAATTTTCGGTTAGTGAGCGTTGTAAAAAATTATGTTTAACTTACTACGATTTTTGTACGGGAACTGCTCGCATGCCAGTAGCTCTTTGAGTTCTTTAAAAGAAGATTTTTTAAGTTTTTACTATATGCATATAGGGAAAATCAATGACCCCCCCGGGGCGGGGCCAATTTTGACCCCAGGGCTTTTATTTGAACAAACTTGGTAGACACCCATTAGAACATATTTCATGCTAAATATCTAAGCTCTAGCTCTTTGGGTTCTTTAAAAGAAGATTTTTTTAAGTTTTTACTATATGCATATAGGGAAAATCAATGACCCTCCGGGGCGGGGCCAATTTTGACCCCAGGGCTTTTATTTGAACAAACTTGGTAGACACTCACTAGAAGATGTTTCATGCCAAATATCTAAGCTCTAGCTCTTATGGTTTTTTAAAAGAAGATATTTAAAGTTTTTTCTTTCGGTTGCCATGGCAACCAGAGTTCTGCATGGAATTAAATTCTTTGAACAATTTTTAAAGGTGACCACCAAAGGAACATTCCTGTGAAGTTTGGATGAAATTGGCTTAGTGGTTTATGAGGAGATGTCATTTAAAGTAAAAGTTTATGGACGGACGCCGGACGGAGGACGGACGGACGCCGGACGAAAAGCGATCACAAAAGCTCACCCTGTCACTTTGTGACAGGTGAGCTAAAAAAATAAACTTACATGTTATTGTGAAGTCTATGTCCTTTCTAGTAACTGGTACAAAAATGGACTTCTTTTTGGCATCATAAACTGACACTCTCATTGAATATGTCCGTGGCTCCACCAACGAATCAAAACATGGTTTATAACTTGTGTTGAAGTTGGCATGTTGGCTCTCCTGGAATAAATTAATAATGTTAATATACATGTATATAAATCAAGTAATCAAGTACATGTACTATGTTTCTCTTATTAAACATTTAAGTCCTATATATACATGTATACAGTCAAAATTAAGTACATGTATTATGTTTTTCTTATTAAATATTTAAGTCCTATATAATATATACATGTATACAGTCAATCAAGTACATGTACTATATTTCTCTTATTAAACATTTAAGTCCTATATATGCATGTATATAGTCAATCAAGTACATGTACTATGTTTCTATTATTAAACAATTAAGTCCTGATTATTAAACAGAGGCCTAGTGGATGAGGTTTCTACATCTTGACAAATGGATCATGGGTTAAAACCCTACTAGGGTCACAATCATATTGCTTCATTTGACACCAGTTCTAGAAGCGGTCCTGAGATTGGTTCAAATAAAACTTAAAGCTTCCTTTTCAGTCAAGCTAAGATAAATAATTGTGTTATAAACATTATTTGAAGTATTAATTCAGATTAACATTTTCTTATTGAATTTATCACAGGTAATATTTCTGTTAACTGCCTTATTTTGGTAAAAAGGACAATTCAAGATTTAAAATTTCAAGCAACTTCCCAAAAATTTCTGCATTACAGGTATATAACTAATTCATATTCCTATTAAATTTGGGGGATTAGCAAATTCCTACACATAAACTACTAATGAAAACAATCAAATTATGAATCTAGTGACTGTGGTATGAAGTAAGTATACATGACTTGTATATGGCTGAAATTGTTGGGTATGTTTGGGAAAAGTGCCAATCTATCCTATCATTCCAGACTTACCGTCATAATCAAACAAGCAAAAATTCAAGTCTTGCATGCTTTACCTGAGCACTATTACCACAGTACTAAATTGCATGATGCCCTCGGATCTACGTTGTACATGCATATTGGTAGGGTAGCATAGGCCAGGCATTACTTCAAAGAACTTTTATAGAAAATCATGAAAAATTATCACTTTAACTAAATTCACCATATCCTTACAGTTAAAAGATAAACTGAGTCTCTCCAGTCGTATCTGAACAATTCCTCGTCTTTTGTTGGTGTTTTACTGGCACCCAGATATAGCTGTGCTTGGAAATCAATAAACGAGCCCCGCACTGCCGGCCCACTACTTGTCAAGTTTAACTTGTAATCGTCAACTGAAAAAATGAAGAATAATGATTTTTGAAATAACTGGCAATTAAAACTGCGAGTATTGATAGTTTTTTTTTTACGTAAAATTAGAGTCACTGTAAAAAAGGTTGACTATTTTAAATGAAAAAGCTACTCATTCAAGCATTTGATAAATTTACCTTAAATATATATTTTTTTGCCAAAATTTTATTTCATACCTGAATGAATAATTGAATATTTCATACCATAATAAACTGCTTGTATTGTATGAACAATTACTACCAAAAGATCCTAAATATAAGTGTAATCTGTTGGAACTACTTTCATATTGTTTCTGTTAAATAGATAAAATAAGAAGATTTATGCTGGAAGAGTCTTCCAACATAAATCCTCTTATTTTAGCTATTAGAGCTGCTACATAATCAGTGCAATAAAAACAAACACTCTTCCTTAGCTTTTGACATTTTGTCTTCTTCATATAAAATTGATGTTCATAAAATAACAAATGATGCAACGTCCATTTAACTATACGCTAAATGGAATGTGATGATAATGCGGAAATAAAAACTCTGTCAAATAAAAACAGAATGACAATGTTTCAATTAAAACAAAGCTACATGAATACAGCAAAATATAATACAATATACATAGAATATGGATCTACACACGTGATACAAAAATTCTCATAATAATTGAGTTTTTTTTCCCCCTCAAAATAATTTTCTTTTAAAGGAGCTGTTAGATAGACATCATAGTTAGACTATTCCCAAGGCTTGACAGTCAAACAATGGCCATGCAGGAAGTTTAACATAAGTTCATATTAAATGAGGAAAAAAATCAGTGAAAATCAATGCAAGAGTTGTGTGTCTTGGTCAGTGACATACAATTATAAAAATTAAATTAACAAGTAAATCAAGAGAAGGAGAGAACACACATCAAACATCAGGATGGATTGTAACTGGTTTATTCAAGGATCTACCGGTTTTGATCATTCATCAGGATGAAATATATTATAAATGTTATTTAACTTTAAGACATTAGCTGTATAAAACTTTCACACATAGATACATACATGTACATATATTCATAACTAGCATTTTATAAAATGAAAATATTTGTGAAAATAGGATTTTTAAAAAAATAAATATTAGTCAAAAGTTAATTACTTCCCTTGTAAAATGTATTCTCATATTTAATAATGAGTAATTAATTTGTCTGTAAATCACCTTGTCTCCAAATCATTATATAACAAAAAATATACATGTACATGAAATTTATTTTCTTACCTATATCAATGGAACAAGTTGACTCCAACATTAACATAAATATGGCAATCTTTGACATAAAATCCATTCTTTCTTTTTACAATAAGTCAAATATCTTGCTAATGTTTTTTTTTTATTTCTTCACAGATGGTGTTTTAATCCACATATCATTTCTTTTCTACCATAGTCACACTCAAGAGCCTGAAATAATTACACAAAAAAATCACACATCAAAATTCAAGAACATTTTCAACAACAATTACAATCACATGATACCAAGCAATAAAAATCTAATCAAATTTATGATAATGCAATAGGGCAGACACTCAACATTAACATATCTTAACTTTTAAAAGTACCCGGTGACATTCAGCGAAATTGAAATTTAAAATGTTATCAAGATTATATGAGGTGAATTATCATCAATGTTACAGCCAAAAAGTCAGTCACAAAATAGAAAGACTTTTTTTTTTAGTTTTAAAGGCCGATTAACCAGAATGCTATGATTTTTATTTCTCTTCATTTTTAATTTCTTGCAACAGTTTTCCCCCAAAAAAGCAATCCATATAGATATACAAAATGTAATATATGTGACATATTCTTAAGTCAGGCATATTTTGAATTCAACTAATATCATGATAATACACTGTAAATACTAGGGCTGTAACAATACAGTAAAAAGCATATTACAATATATTGCAATACGCAACATCCGTATTGCAATATATTGCGATACATATTGTTTTTTATCTTAGGTACTGGGAAATAATTAAAAAAAAGAGACTTGTTTATAATTTCAACAAATATTATAAATATATATATACAAAATGTACTTTCCTTTAACAAAAAATTAAACTGTTTCAACTATTGAAGCATCAACTATGAGTTACTTAACAGCAAAATAAAACTTTAAACACTTTTCATTCAGTAACTAACAATCTAAACTATATCCTTATGATTTTCTTAACATAGTTTCAGACTAGGACTAGATCACAGGGCTTGAGTGACGGTGGCAATTAATCCATGTTTTTCTTTAGAAAAATTAACATGTCTACTTTGTCAGCATCTAGAATTCAATAATTTCATGGGTCTCTCTTTTCCTTGTAATTGATTTTTTTATCAGATCATAATTATTTCCGTCTGCCATAGTAAATCACCTATTTTTCAAGCATTTGTCCACCCGCGCACCCTGTAATTTTTTTACCCTACCCGCCCACGGTGTAATTTTTTTTACCCTCACACCCTTTTTTTAACACACTTCCTACTTTATTGTTATTTTCTTTTGTGAATAGGACATTTTCATAACATTTATCAAGAAAATTATGGAAGACTTTCTTTTATTTATAGAGAAAATTATGGAACACTGTTATTACTAAATAAAACCGGTACAACTAAATGTGAATCGCGGTCCAATATTTATTTATCCTGCACCGCAATATATCGGTGTACCGGTAAACTGTTACAGCCCTAGTAAATACATGTATGAGTGCAAGTCCTGTCATTCATTTTGCCAACTCAATTAAAATCAAAATACATTTGTACTGAAATTATAATTTGTACCAAATCCTTCAAACTATTAAATTGTAACCTCTTAAATCAAAAACTGGGAAAGTATATCATACATGTATAAACACAGCAGGATGTGGTCTATTGTCATCAGTTTCTCTTGGAAATACTTTATCCTTGTTTCAAATATTAATTTGTTTCTGACATTTTCTTCCTATTTACAATATTCAAGGATATTCAATCTAATTGTTATGATAATTGTTTGATAATTAACAGTATACACCCCCCTCCCCCTCTTCCTGTACATAATATAAAATCTTTTGTTGCCAAAGATTTAGCAATTTTACTTCAAGTCAACAAATAAATGTTTTAACTGATAATAACTGACTATTAAATTAGCAAAACAGACACAGAACTGTCTTTCATCTTGTCAATATAGACAAGTCTTACAGATAAATCTAGATACTTATTTAAATTTGTATTATCTTTATAATTATTTATCTGCTCTCAGTTAATTATCAATTACTTGGATTATATTTCATTATCAACATTCATTATTCATTGATAATTTAATCTACAAAACAGGTCCACTTAGAGCAATTTCTTGAAACACGAGGGGGAAATACCAAAGTACTATTCTGATCATGGGGTAAATGCCATTAGTTTTCGCCACTTACTGTAGTAAATGTTTCAACTTTGTAACTTATATTTCATAATTGCTCAGTATGCAAATTGCAAATATTTGTTACTAGTGTTTTACCTTCTTGATTCAATAACAAGTCATGCTCTTTGAAACTTAAAATATTTCCATACACCAAAGGGGACTTATATTCTGCAGATTAATCAATTGACATTTTTCCTCAAGAAGTTACAGGACTTTTTTGAAGGGAGCAGAATAATCACAAAATTATATAACATTCAACGTCACATCCCACATCAAAATTTTTTAGACTAACAACAGCAGCAACAAATTGGAATTTGTGGGGCTAATTATTATGGGGTGAATAGTTAGCAATTCGTAACAGAAGTAGTATCTTTAATTTAACTTAATACGACACCCTGTAGTATTTACTGATTCCCTGTATATCAACACAATTATAATTCAATTTAAAATAATTTAGATGTAAAGTAAATAAATTTCTGTTTAAACAACTAGAAGTGATGAATGCTGCACCATCTCAATCACACAGAATTTTACTAGGTTTGTTTACTATGAATATTTCAGCTAACTTGAGCTACATTGTAAGTTTGAAGAAGTCGATTAAGGAGTATAGAATTTACAGTTCTGACATAAAGTTATCTTTATCCTTACTTTCAAATGTACCTTGAAATTGAGTCAGCACAGGAACATGGGTACGGCACATCCCTTACGTGGAGTGAACATTTAAACTAAGCTTGAAGAAATCCTTCAAGGGGTACAGGATTCATAGAACAAACACATAATTGTCTAAAATTTCACCTTCTAATGTGACCTTGAATTAATAGTCCTCAGCATATATGTAGGTTCTGCACATCACCTTGTTGAGGATAGCATTTGAGGCATGTTTGTAAAATTCCTCAAAGGGAATTTATACAGTTTATGCTATAGTGGACACCAAATTGTCTGACATTTTACTTTTAATTATGACCTTGACCTGGCACAGCAATGGCATTGGTAATGCACGTTTCCTCAGCGCTTCCATTAGCAGAAGTTTGGGAGTCATTTACTGCTTGATTTTGGCTTGTGACTTCCAAAATGTAATACTTTTTTTACCTATGTAATGTGACTTCCAATTTAAGACATTTTACAGTCTTTGACTTCCAAATTTTGGGACTTGAATAGAAGCCCCGTTTCCTTGTTGAGGTGAACATTTGTATAAAGTTTGAATAAAATCCTTCCAGTACTGCAGTATAGGATTTAGAGCAGAAAAAGTGGTGACAGACAAACAAACTAACTGACCGATCAATGGGACAATGTAATTCTAGTAGTACAGTTGGCCCCTCATCAGTATTTTGCATTGAGCTATAATATTAACTGATAAATTAAAGCAGCATGCCTCCAGATTCATGTTAATTTTCATAAAAATTTTGGAAATGTATTTAAAAGTAAATTAAAAAATAATATGAGTTGAACAAATAAAGTAATATACATATTGCAATCAGCACTTGAAATCCATGAAAGTTACCAAAGAGTTGTCAACATATGCAAAAGTAGCCCTTACTGCGTTAGTAACGCAGTACAAATATGGTGATAGAATACTGCAAAATCAGTGTTCAACCGCACATAACATATAAAATATAACTTGGATCTTGAATGTTTTTAATTTTCTTAAAAGTTTAGTGCATATTTCTCAATATTGATTTTCTTGAAATATTTTGGCTCATCAGATTCTGGAGTAGTTGCTGTCTGCAAAGCTTTCTGGTAATGTAGACAATATTTAGCAGTTACAGTAAGTAAAGGTATAGTCAAAATATATTGACATGCCAAAGCTAGATTCTGAGAGTGAGATATTTTCGTGCTGGGTCTGAATCTCGCTTTTAGAGGTGAAAAATTGCCCAGTCACGAAAATAGCACCAAATCTTGTCACGCAGTACAATTAGTTGGACTAAATTTCTCATCGCGCAGTACAATTAGTTGGACTAAATATCACGTCGCGCAGTACAATTAGTTGGACTAAATATCTCGTCGCGCAGTACAATTAGTTGGACTAAATATCACGTCGCGCAGTAAAATTAGTTGGACTAAATATCTCGTCGCGCAGTACAATTAGTTGGACTAAATATCACATCACGCAGTACAATTAGTTGGACTAAATATCTCGTTGCGCAGTACAATTAGTTGGACTAAATATCTCGTCTCGCAGTACAATTAGTTGGACTAAATATCTCATCGCGCAGTTCAATTAGTTGGACTAAATATCAGTCGCGCAGTACAATTAGTTGGACTAAATATCTCATTGCGCAGTACAATTAGTTGGACTAAATATCACGTCGCGCAGTACAATTAGTTGGACTAAATATCTCATTGCGCAGTACAATTAGTTGGACTAAATATCATGTCGTGCAGTACAATTAGTTGGACTAAATATCACGTCGTGCAGTACAATTAGTTGGACTAAATATCACGTCACGCAGTACAATTAGTTGGACTCAATATCTCATCGCGCAGTACAATTAGTTGGACTAAACATCTCATCGTGCAGTAAAGATGTTTGGACTAAGTGGACTAAATATCTCATCTCGCAGTACAATTAGTTGGACTAAACATCTCATCGCGCAGTACAATTAGTTGGACTAAATATCACAATTAGTTGGACTAAATATCTCATCACGCTGTACAATTAGTTGGACTACATATCTCATCGCGCAGTACAATTAGTTGGACTAAATATCACGTCGCACAGTACAATTATTTGGACTAAATATCTCATCCTGCAGTACAATTAGTTGGACTAAATATCATGTCGTGGAGTACAATTAGTTGGACTAAATATCTCATCGTGCAGTACAATTAGATGGACTAAATATCACGTTGCGCACACAGGGAAATCTGTCATTTTTTATTAATCTATATATATATAATATAAACAAGGGATACAAGTCGTGGCCTCGCACTACCAGCACGAGTTCGTAAAATGCATTCACACGTGTAAACTGTATAAAATATCCTCTATTCCATCAAAGTTATTGTAAAAATTAATATATGAACGAGTCATTACCCAAGTTCTACTACAAACACTTCATTAAAACCTGAAACATTGCAGGAAATAGCTAACATTTCAATATTTACATTGGCTGTCAAGTTGTCGTCCATTTTGCGGGTGTGTTTATGTTCCGAGTATTTTCATTGGCTGATGAAAAAACCGCTATTCGTCGTGGCTATATACCGTTATTATCCGGATTATTATTATTCATTAGCCAATGAAATTGACAGTCACTAACAGAATATGGATTTAAGCATGGAACATACGGGCAACATCAAAATGGAAGCCGAGGATAGAAATTATCAAAACAAACAAAAATTGTTACAATAATTTGTACCAGAAGTTAAAGATTGCATCATTGATGGTGGTGGATGATTGATATTTAACCGATTACATTAAACTTTCTTGAGCATACGTTTGCATTAGATGTCGTTTTACACGTGTAATTTAAAAAACCGAAATTTTACGAACGTGTGTAAAAATGAAACATGAAAGGTTATTTTTAATAATATCTTGTCCATATAACAAAGTGAGTCATTTTTTTTAAAATAAATTTATCGATTCTTTCATCAATGTCCAACAATCAGAAGAAAACAAACTGTTGTATACTGCGTTCTATTTACTTTTTAATGAATTGAGCAATTTTGAGTTGTATCCCTTGTTATATTATACATATAGTGGGAAAGAAAAAAAATGACAGAATTCCCTGTGGTTGCGCGCAGCGCAGTACAATTAGTTGGACTAAATATCTTGTCACGCAGTATGTTGGACCACGGATTTATATTACAAGGATCGGACACTTTCGTTTAGCTTAAAGTCCCGTCGCGCGCATGCGCGGAATCGGATAAAGGTGGACAGAACGAGATGGCGGAACGTGCGGAGTACGAAATATGACAGATTTTCACCGGAGTATGTGGTGTTATTGCAGCTTTGTGAAAAATTATACACATATGAATGTATTGATACAGTATCATTTTGTGTCGCTAAAGTATTATTATATGAAAATATGCTGATAGAACGCTGCAACGCTTAGTTAAAAAGTACCTAATTTAAAAAATATTCGCCTATTGTTTAGGCATACTCTCTACACTTCGCCGCCCTTTTACTTCAAGCACGAATTATTACCGCGATTCAGAATAAGATCATTATTTTTTACATGGTTTAATGATGGCATTGCAAAAAAAAACGTTTCTTGATTGCTAACAAACTTTTAAAGAAATTCATGTTTGAAATGTGTCCTTATTTCTGTGAATTATTTCCAAATGATTTGTACATTTTTTATTTGATTACCTGTATATTAGTATAAATATAATAAATATTCTACTATTAAGTGTATTAAATATATTTTCAGATCATTCTAGACAAGCATTCCTATATAGATCAATTCATTAGATTGGCAATATTGGCATAGAGAACAGCTGTTTTATAATATTATTTTTTATTTTGAAACATAATTTTTTCATAGATATCCTAAACAATTCACGTCAAATGATTTATTTATCACATGTTTATTTTCATCATTTTTCAGAGAAAGGACTATACAAATTTAGTTGTATATTTTCAATTTCATTTATAAATGTTAATAAAGAAAATAGATTTACATTGTATTTATATATATCCTCTTCAGAATCATTTTCTTACCACATATGCCATGAACTGTAGTTAAAGACCGCGCATATACAAAATATACATTCAAATTATATTTGTTTTTGAAGATTGAGTGTTGCAATTATCACATGTAACCTGGTAATGAAAGTTTGGAAATAAAGTTTTTTAATTATCACTTACCCCCCTTCAAAAGTAATTAAACTTGAAAGAAATTTAAGCGATGTGTAAAAAATAATCAACAGTTACTTTTATTTCGCAAAATACTGACTCAAACTGTAAAGATTTTTATTGTTTTTCTAGCGTTACATTTGCATCTTTGATCATCTGTGAATAACTTACATCGGCTTCTTTTTTGTTTTGAAACTGAAAGTATTATGGTACCGTAATAATAAATTTCAAATACCTGCTTTTTATATAAAAAAAACTGTAAATTTACCGCGGATTTCGTCAAGTTAATTTTTTAACCGTCGTTGCGGACAGATAAACTGTACCTTTAAAAAATAAATTAGATATTTGAATTAACCAAGTATTTTTCTTCAAAATAAACTTTAAATTTCCAAAATCGGATAATAAATGAAAAAGCTATATGGTATTTTGTAAAGTAGGTATCCGTTGCGAACGGGCATTTACGCTTCGCGCCGGTAAATTATCGATCGATGTACCTTTATCGGGTGCACGACAAGATATTTAAGCATTTATATAGGGTTAACTGGGAGTGTCCGATCCCTGTAATATAAATCCGTGGTTGGACTTGACAAGATCATACACTTACTTTTTTTTCCATTTACAATAAAAACATAGTTTACTGAAAATCCAAAATTTAATTTCTTAAAACGCGTATAAATACATTCTATTAAAGACTATTTGTCAAAAATCGTCAATTGTTTATTTTCAACACAAAATTATTGTGAACACTGGTGAAGTAAGCTAATAAAATCAAAACAACTAACAGACTTTGATAATCTTATATCTCCCTGCCATGAAAAATATGTGTATTTAACATGAAATATCACATTTTATATTCAATTTCTATCTATTGTCAAGTAATTAACTTATGTTTCACAACAATACCGTGATCCTGTCCACCATGTTTTGGTCATGTGACTGCTTAACCAATTAGATAAATATCACTACCATACCTTACATGACGATCGGTTATTTCCGTATCAATCTCCTACGCAGTGATCTCCCCTTACTGGCCGTAGCGGAGTTGACAGGTCTATGATGGATTTTATAACTTTTATTAATTTTATCACAAAACCGCCAAAAGTCTAGCAAATTATATCTTTAACAAATTATATCATTGCTAAAGTATACGATTCGAGATCAAACCTATACAATGGATTTAAAAAAAACATATCTGAATGTCATCTCTATACTGCAGTATATATAGTAGAGGTGTTATTGGGGAATCCACATGAAACATGCTAGTACTATAAATGCCGCTCTTTAACATCTGTTGCGGATTTTAAGTTTTGAAAACTTGTTGATTAATTGTAATTCGACTCTAATCTCTCCTCTTCACGAGTTAGCCGAAATGTTACTACTTTTTGGTCAGTAGGGAATGAAGCTTCAAATGCCCTATACAGGCCTGCAGGACAGGGCGGACCGTGAGACAGGGCGGACCGTACCAGGGCGGACCGTGACTCAAGACTAGGCGGACCATATTTTGGGACAGGGCGGACCGTCACTCGAGACGAGGCGGACCGTGATGTAAAAAAGTATTTATATTTGGATTAATGTAAGAGACCATATGGGCGAGCATATACTTCATTTATATAATTCATGCATGACGAATGTTTACGTTAATTAACTTTCAGTTCAGAAAAAGTACAATTAATTATTGTATACTTTTCTTTATTTAGTCTGGAACATAAAATGATGTTATCGGATGTCCCAGATTTATTGTTGCTAAAGAATCTCACAAAATGTTTTGTTTAACTGTTTTGTGTGTGTTTTTTTCCATGTTATCCATGTTTGATCTTTTATTATTATTATTATTATTATTATTATTATTATTATTATTATTATTATATACCAAACTTCTTAAGCACTTTTTTCATGCACATTGACACGTTCAAAAGTACTGTACAATATAGCCAAATAAATGATACAATATTTAAAAGAAACAAAAATTAAAACATTAATATTGCTCAAGTCACAAATTCAAATCAAATGTAGTTTAAAACATGTTAAAAAGACCCACATAAATAATAAAATTCAGGTAAGAACCTAAAAAATAATCAGTCCAAATAAAACTTCTTAAATAAGTGAGTTTTAAGTGCTCTCTTAAACACTAAGAGTTTCACAGCTTTTAAGTGTTCTAGGTAGGGCATTCCAGAGTTTAGGGGCTGCCGTCATAAAAGCACGATCACCATAAGTCACAGTCCTACTACGCGGTACAACAAGTTTGTACTCGACTCTAATGTGCACAGAAAGCCAATGTAGTTCCTTTAAAACTGGGGTTATGTGGCAGTTTCGCGGTGTCCTGGTAATAACACGAGCAGCCGTATTTTGAACATTTTGGAGTTTGTTGAGAACGTACTTTGGAGATCCATATAGCAACGAATTACATTAATCTAATTTTGATGTCACTAACGAGTATATCAAGGTTCTGGTTGAATCAACAGTCAAGTATTTCCGAATTTGACCTATTTGTCGTATTTTCATGAAGCATGAACGAGAAACTGAGTTCACATGTTGTTCCATGTCTAAATGAGAGTCCAATACGGCGCCAAGGTTTCTAACTGTTGTTGATGGTTTTATTACAGAATCACCGACTCTTACAGTAAGATCTTCAACATCACTTCGTTTTGGTACAAAGACGATCACCTCACCACAGGTTTGGTGTACATGATGTAATTCTTCGGACCAAGAACGGACCCTTGTTGCACAGAAAATGTCATACGTACAGGTTTTGACAGTTCACCATTGACGCAGACAGTTTGATGACGCTCACACAGATATGATTTTATCCATTCTTAAGGTTTGCCTACTATTCCGAAGTGTTGTTCGAGCCGGCAAAGGAGGGTACTATGGTCGATCGTATCAAAAGCAGCAGATAAGTCCAACATTACAAGAACAGTAGCTTCATTCTGATCAAGAGAGCGGAGAATGTCATTTTGTACATATAATAGAGCAGATTCTGTTAAATGAAACTGCCTATAAGCAGACTGACGCTCTTCATGAAGTAGGTGTCTTTAAAGTTGAGAATCGACAACTTTCTCGAGAATTTTGGAGACAAACGGTAAATTAGATACAGGCCGGTAGTTTTTCATAACCTCTTGATCCAACCCTGACTTTTTGATTAAAGGTCTGACTCTAGAACTTTTAAAAGCGGGTGGTACATAGGCCCTCTCAAGTGAAGTGTTTATGATTTTTGTGATCAATGGTAATAGTTCATTTAAACAATCTTTCATCAGCCATGTTGGAATGGGGTCAAGTTCACAGGATTTGTTTGGCGAATTGCGAATAATCTTTGAAATTTCCATATCAGAGACTACTGAAAAGTAAACTACTTGATAACGTTACTTAAATTACGAAGACATCTTTTATCTTAGAAAGAAAAACATTTTTGGAAGCCATGATTTGAAATATGTAATATCAAAATGATACAAATAAATCCTATAATCCTAAAATGACTTTCTAAACTAGATAACGTGTTTTTGTGGCATTTCGCCGAATGCCTCATTTCAACGAAAAGTGTTGTCATTTCGAATAAAAATTCTCGTAAAGTAAAAATTTAACATGGAGGCCAGTTTGATGGCAACATTTGTACTGTATAAAGACAGCAAGCTTTCTGGGTTGATTTTTTGGAATAAATCATGCCTAAAACATTTCTGTAACAAAAACACTTGAAAAACAAAAATTTACTTGAAAAATCTGCCTGTACACGTGCAATATAAACGGATTTTTGCCTTTTCAAGGGAGACAATAATTACAAAATGGTAAATGTACACAGTACAGGTTATTTCCCATACACTACACAAGAAACTAGAATGGCTCAACTCGTCTGTAAGTTTTAAATAAATCAATACGGAATAGCAGAATAATGATCGAATCTGTGTTTTCAAAAATACTGTTTAAAGAGAAAAAAGAAACATCAATTCAATTATAAATGACTACAGTATAGATGTATAACTGTATAAATGCAAAATAAAATATATGCATTGATGCTGTGGCGGTGGACAAACATCTTTGAAATTAAGTCACTCGGTTATCCGCTAATTTTAATTTGGCATTAAATACTTAGAAAAAATATTGTAGTTTAAAAATGGTGCACTCGTTTGTACACATGTATTTGTTTAGAGAAATGTTTTGCGAAAGACAACCGTTGTCTTCTTTCGAAAATGGTTGTCTCCCTTTGACTATTGCCCAGTAGCTATATCAATATGCGTATCTGTACGTACATACTGGTACAACTGTAAAGTGACATAAATTAACGATGTCCTGCTTTAATATGAGACGCCTGTTAAGCATTTCACTTTATGCAATCTTCGTTTAGTTTCGTTGCCAAACTGTTCCGCGAAGTGCTTATATTTGCACTAAGTACCAGTACCATATAAAATGTTTAATGCGGACATTTCATATGGGGCTGTTGCAAAGAGTTTTTTTTATCAACATCACATACATGTTTGAATATTTGTTAGTAATGGCGTCAATAAAAATACACTGGAAATATCGGTCGAAGTTTTGGTTTTTGACAAGACAGTGCCACGACCCGACCGGTTATTTCGCAAGATTATCTTACAATTAAAGACATTTGGAAATCTTAATAAAACCATAATTATACCTGGGGTTATTATAACATAAAGTTCTATAAGCAAACAGCTTACGTTTATTCTATTTCAAAAATCATGCAATACAAGGTATGATGACCGCAACTCTTCACAGCATACGCGACCAATATCATAATTTGATTGGATCGGATACTGCACAATGGGGAGTTTTGTGTGGCCTAACATTATCACAACTCGCATGATGTACTGGGGAGTTTTGTGTGGCCTAACATTATCACAACTCGCATGATGTACTGGGGAGTTTTGTGTGGCCTAACATAATCACAACTCGCATGATGGACTGGGGGGAGTTCTGTGTGGCCTAACATTATCACAACTCGCATGATGTACTGGGGAGTTTTGTGTGGCCTAACATTATCACAACTCGCATGATGTACTGGGGAGTTCTGTGTGGCCTAACATAATCACAACTCGCATGATGTACTGGGGAGTTTTGTGTGGCCTAACATTATCACAACTCGCATGATGTACTGGGGGAGTTTTGTGTGGCCTAACATTATCACAACTCGCATGATGTACTGGGGAGTTGTGTGTGGCCTAACATTATCACAACTCGCATGATGTACTGGGAAGTCATGTTCGGCCTAACATTATCACAACTCGCATGATGTACTGGGGAGTTCTGTGTGGCCTAACATTATCACAACTCGCATGAATGACTGGGGGAGTTCTGTGTGGCCTAACATTATCACAACTCGCATGATGGACTGGGGGGAGTTTTGTGTGACCTAACATTATCACAACTCGCATGATGGACTGGGGGGGGGGAGTTTTGTGTGGCCTAACATTATCACAACTCGCATGATGTACTGGGGGAGTTTTGTGTGGCCTAACATAATCACAACTCGCAATGATGTACTGGGGAGTTTTGTGTTTGGCCTAACATTATCACAACTCGCATGATGTACTGGGGAGTTTTGTGTGGCCTAACATTATCACAACTCGCATGATGTACTGGGGAGTTCTGTGTGGCCTAACATTATCACAACTCGCATGATGGACTGGGGGAGTTTTGTGTGGCCTAACATTATCACAACTCGCATGATGTACTGGGGAGTTTTGTGTGGCCTAACATTATCACAACTCGCATGATGTACTGGGGAGTTTTGTGTGGCCTAACATAATCACAACTCGCATGATGTACTGGGGAGTTTTGTGTGGCCTAACATTATCACAACTCGCATGATGTACTGGGGAGTTTTGTACGGCCTAACATTATCACAACTCGCATGATGTACTGGGAAGTTCTGTGTGGCCTAACATTAT